CAAAGATGTTTTGCGTTCTCTCGCAAAACTGTTTCTCCACAAACACTTCCTGTTCACTGCACTCACGTAAACCCTCCCGTTTTTGCTGAAATTATCCGATATTTTACCATTCTACCCCACTTTCTTTACATTACTGTGCGCTGATTGTCGCCTTTCACTTTGAAACCTCTGAACCAGTGAATGCATGTTTAAGCGCTGACTGACAGACGCGCTCCATACAATAAACTGATCCCAGATCAGCGTCTGTACACGCCATTTAAAGGGACACTTCTGTTATCAAACAAGTGCGCAGCAAATGAATCTCATGTTTTGTTTAGTTTGATAACAGAGGTGTCTCTGTAAGAATGCACAGATTTATAATGAAAGCAGTCTATTACTTTAGAAACTTCATATTATTCAGTGTATTTGTCTGTTTAAACATGCACCCGCTCCTCTGTAAATGGCGTGTACAGACGCTGATCTGGGATCAGTTTATTGTACGAAGCGCGTCTGTCAGTCAGCGCTTATACATGCATTCACTGGTTCATAGGTAGCATACGCACAAGAAAGTGGGGTAGAATGGTAAAATACGGGAGAATTTCGGCAAAAACGGGAGGGTTTACGTGAGTGCAGTGAACAGGAAGTGTTTGTGGAGAAACAGTTTTGCGAGAGAACGCAAAACATCTTTGCGAGGGAACGCAAAACATCTTTGCGAGATAACGCAAAACATCTTTGCGAGATAACGCAAAACATCTTTGCGAGATAACGCAAAACATCTTTGCGAGGGAACGCAAAACATCTTTGCGAGGGAACGCAAAACTTTGCGAGAGAACGCAAAAAACTTAGAAATATATATTTTCCTCCCACCCATTTTTTTTCTTTCACCCATTATTTTTTTTTTCACCTACCCATTTTTTTATCTCCTCCACTACGTCCCATGCGCCCGAAAATTAATCTATGCGACCTCATAATATATTTGGGCGCATTAGTGCGACTGCAGATAATGGTTGTAGTGCGACCTGTTTTGATTTTTTGTAAAAACGTGCTGAATCGCTCTTCCCTGCCGCTATATTGGTTCATATTAGCTGTCAATCACTCAAGCTATTCTGCTGTCAGATGACAGGGAAGGAGCTTTTATGACCACGGGAAATGCAAACGGCTGAAGAGTAAAAACTTAAAGCACACAGGTTTGCAAACCCCACCTAAAATTGAGGTGCAGATGAGAGCGATCATGACACGTCACGTGGTGAATAATAATCCACCAGCTGAGATCAATCGAGTACGCGCTTCTTGGAGAAGGCGCCCGAATCTCCATGCGTCGCATTCACTGCGTGTTCAGCGCAAATGTCCGCTAAAAGTCAAATCTACTACTGTACATATCATCGCCAAAGCAGCTTGCATTTACTAAGTTTACACTGAAACTGCGTCTCATAACAAACAGCGGTATTACGCCGGTGGTATTCGCAAGAATCTTGCGCTGCCTGCTCATAAATTGGGTCGGCTGACTCGCCAGCTTTTCCACAAACATGAAAAGACAAAAGACTGAACCTTTAAATTGACCCAAACTGAAACCAAAACTTTTAAAGAGTGATAGAAGTGAGACTTTACTTTCTTTCTTTTGTCTATTCTTTTTTGAGGTGTATATTATTATTATTTTTATATACTGATGACTGCTTTGCAGCTTTCATCATTGAATTGAATGATTTATTATAATCTTTTGTTTGTTTTGTAGCAGAAATATTATTTATTAAATTGACATGCATATAAATACAGCAGTACAAAATAAATATTTCTTACTGCAATGCTTCATTTTTGTTTGATGCAAACTATACAATTATTTTTCATAAAGGAACAGACTTTTTATAGCAGATAACCTACATTCATGCACATTCAAGGCAGTATCATAATGAGAAATGTAATTCATTTTTACTATTATTGTCATTTTCATCATCATTAATATTCTATAATTATTAGACATTCATTTTGGAATTATTGCACACAAATATCAATGTCTTCGCAGCATTAGTTAGATAGTTGTTTCTGGTTTTTGTCAGTCCTATTGATGTTGTTTTAAAATACAATAAATCCTTTAAAAAGCAACTTGGAGCGGTGCTCATTCAGTTTTGGTGGGTGCTCCTAAATTTTTTCTGGTGCTCCTAAATATTTGAAGTTGGGAGCACCGGTGCTACCAAGTAAAAAAGTTAATTTCTAGCCCTTTCTTATATATATTATAGGTAGATACAGACTGGTACAGACTGATGTGACTGGAGTGGGGTGGGGGTGTTTTATTTATACATATATACGCCTTTTTTTAGGTGAGGGAATAGAAGTTTTGAGTGAGTTCCCCCACTTTTTTCCCTAGGACTTGGCCTTTTTGGGAGCACATATTTGTGTGAGAAGTTATTCTCCACCTTGAACTTCAATAAGTCAAAGTACAGGTCTAGACTTAATGATGATCATCTTCAAGCCATACTGAGGGTCTCAACTGCTTCCGCTCTAAAGCCAAATGTGGTTCAGATTTGTGAGAAGCAGCGCTGTCAAGTCTCTGGCAGCAAGGAGTAGGCAAAAGATGCCATGTTCAGAAGAACTGTTCATAATCTTCACTCAATGTTCTATTAATGTTCAGGACACTTCATGTTCAGAAGAAATAATTAAAACTGTTAATAATGACATTTGAGGACTTTTTTTTTGTGAAATCCCTTATGCGGCCAAGCCTCACCCAGACTTTGCCTCCTGCGGCCCCCAGGTAAATTGAGTTTGAGACCCCTGTTATACACATTTCTGTCCTGATACATCAAACACACACACACACACACACATCAGCCATGTCCTTATAATTCACAATCACCTGTAACGCCTGTTATACTCATGCCATTATACACATTTGTGTCCTGATACATCACAAAACAAACACACACACACACACACACATCAGGAATGTCCTCATAAAGCATCTTCTCCTTGCAATACCTGTCATACCAGTGTTATTATACAAAATTGTGTCCTAATACATCACATAACACACACACACACACACACACACCAGCAATATCCTTATATTTCTCAATCTACAGTAACGCCTGTATTACCCATGTCATTTTACACAATTGTGTTCTGATAGGTCACAAAACACACACACATCTGCACCGTCCTCATAATTAATTTTCTCCTTGTAATACATGTTATAGCACTGTCATTATACAAATTGTGTCCTAATGCATCACAAAACACACACACACACACACACACACACACCAGCAATGTTTTTAGAATTCTCAATCTCCAGTAACACTTGCATTACCCATGTCATTATACACATTTCTGTCCTGATACGTCACAAAAACACACACATCTGTCATGTCCTCATAATTCACAATCTCCTGTAATACCTGTTATACCACTGCCGTTATACACATTTGTGTCCTGATATGTCACAAACACACACACACCCTTCAGCAATGTCCTCATAAATCATCTTCTCCTTGTAATACCGGTCATAACACTGTCATTATTCACATTTTAGTACTGATGTCACAAACACACACACACACACACACACACACACATCAGCAATGTCCTCATAATTCACAAATCGCCACTATTACCTGTCACACCCGTGACATTAAACACGTGTGCCCTAATATGTCACAAAATACCTACACACCAGCAACGTCCTCATAATTGTCAATGTCCTGTAACACCTGTTATACCCATGTCATTATACACGTGTCCTGATACGTCACAAACACACCAGCCATGTCCTCATAATACAATCTCCTGCAATACCTGTCATAGCCATGCCATTAAACAGATTTGTGTCGTAATATGTCATAAAACACAAACACACACACACACACACACACACACATCAGCCATGTCCTCATAAATCATCTTCTTCTTGCAATACCCATCATACTGCTGTCATTATACACATTTGTGTCCTGATTTGTCACAAACACACACACACACACACATCAGCAATGTCCTCAAAAATCATCTTCTCCTTGTAATACATGTCATAACGCTGTCAGTATACATATTTGTGTCCTGATGTCACAAAAACACACACACATCAGCAATGTCCTCATAATTCATGATCTCCTGTAAAACCTGTCATACCCATGCCATTAAACACGTGTGTCCTGATACACGTACGTCACAACACACACGCGCACACATGCGCGCGCATGCGCACACACACACACACACACAACAGCAATGTCCTCATAAATCATCTACTGCTTGTAATACCCTTGATACCAGTGTCATTATATACATTTGTGTCCTGATACATTACAAAACACACACACACACACACACACACACACACACACACACACACACCTGCAATGTCCTCATAAATCATCATCTCCTCATAATACCTGTCATACCAGCATCGTTATATACATTTTTGTACTGATAGGTCACAAAACACACACACACACACCAGCAATGTCCTCATAAATCACAATCTCCTGTAATGCCTGTGTCATACCCATGCCATTATATACATTTTTGTCCTGAAATGTCACAAAACACACACGCACAGAAACAAAATAAAAACTTGTTAGGAACTAAACAGCTAGTTTAGTTAGTTTAGCTATTCTCCGCTACTTTCTGAAATTGTTGGCATTGCTGATGTGTGAAGCATTGAAAACTAGTTATTAGACAAACTATCTACATAAGCAGGCTCACACTAATTATGGGAATTATCGGCCTGACAATATTTAATTGGATGAACATTTTTTAGTCTTATGCCTTGCCCAGAATATAAAGATACATATAAACACCTTTAGATCATTTACTTTAATCATTACTGCTGGAATGTGGAGAGACTTTCCACCAGCACAACACACTTTAAAGTCCATCTTACACGGATTCAATAAGGTAAACAATGCTTACTTGTGAATGCAGCACAAATCAACTCATTTTCAACCTTGAAACACCTCTTTTGCACAAAATGTTTTGTGTATTGTATTGTTTTGAGTATTGTTTTTGAAGAGCAGTGAACGTGAGGTCACCTGAAGCCGATTTGGTTGATGTGGTCCGTCTCCAGCAGCATCTTCCACAGCAGACACAGGAAGAGCGGCGGCGAGCCCTGCATGGAGAAGTGGGTGATGATGTCGTTCTCATTGGTCATGGACTTCCACTTCCTGTACTCCTCCTCCACGTTCTTCTTCAGGTTGAAGCGGCTCTCCTGAGGGACATTATTCTGCTTGAAGAACGCCTGCAAGATAGACACAGGAGACGAGTCACGATATTATTATGAAGCTGATTCCTGTTCACAAGAAAAACTATAACAATAACTACACTGGCTGTGTCCGAGACCACTCCCTATTCACTATAAAGTGCACTACATTGGTTCTTTAATATTTAATAGTGACACCTATAGTCTGAGAAAACAACTTAATTTCCTAAATGCGTTCACTAGGCAACAAAAGAGAGAAAAAACATGGCTGACGTAAACATTCCTTCATTCATTCATTCATTCATTCATTCATTTTCCTTCGACTTAGTCCCTTTTTTTATTAGGGGTAGCCACAGCAGAATGAACCGCCAACTTATCCAGTTTATGTTTTACACAGTAAATACAAGTCAAAGTACATTTAGAAATCACTAGTTTCTTTTTTTTATTTACTTTTTTATTTATTTTTAACACTACTTTTATTTTATTTATTTATTTATTTATTTATTTATTTATTTTTTGGAGTTTTCCATACTGACCCAACTTTTTTATTTTTTTATTTTTTTTTTGTAGATATTTTGGCTTTCCATCCAAGCTTTTTCCGAATGCTGAAGGACTACCAGATGAGAGCCATAAAGCAGTAACAACATAATCCCAACATAAACCATGTGCTCATGGAGAAATGTTTCCAGCGCTTCGAGTTCCTTTTACTTTAAACAACAGAAGATGGCTTGGCTCTTCGAGGAGAGTCACTGTCCATTTTCCAACAATGTTTATTACAAACACTGCATTAAAACACTGTGATGAAGGAGAATCAATTTCACCAAATTTCCATTTCCAGAGAGCGAATGACGTCAAACTCTGAGTTTAAAACCTTCAGCATGAGTGAATGTCAACAAAGCAACCCAAGTCACATTTCAGCCCAAAAATAGTGAAATCCAGCCAACAGCTATGAACAAACCCATGAATAAACATGAGTGGAATAGATTTATTTTAACTTTAATGAAGGCTGTCAGCATTAAAGCATGTGATTAATTCTAAATCAGGCTAAAAGGATTATGCAGAATTACATGCAGAAACACTGCAGAGCGACTACCTTTAAAGTTGAAGTGATTTTACAGTGGTATTAATAACAGCTATCGTTTTGAGGATGATGTACTAGTCTATAATAATACCCTAAATAGTGTGCATGGTGTGAGGCGAGCATGACAGTTCAACAGTTGTTTATAAAATGATTAAAACTGGCAACCAGTTGTGTTACTTTTAAATGATGATTTCAGTTTGGGTTTGACAGAGCGACAAAGAAAGGTCTTGTTGGCAGGACAAACGGCTGCAATAAAGATAATTGCGCAAAGATGGCTCCTTACGCATTCTTTATCTATTCGGCAGTGGCTATATCAGTTTTCTGATATAGTATTGTTAGACCTTTCATCAGCCAGAATTAATAAAGCTAGAGCCTCAACTCTTGATGCGTGGAAAATGGCTGCAGACAAACTGGCAGAAAGACTCATGGATAATAGAAATTGTGCAACAACTTTGAATCTCTAAATCTCTGATAGTTTGTGTGAATATGTATTTACTTTTGTCAATGTATGGCTGTGTGGATGGATCTCTATATGTTAGGGATGTAACGGTATTGTAAATACCATCATACCGCAATATTAATTTTTTTCGATATTAGCGTAGTCGCATGACTCGGTAAAACTATAGGTCTTCTGAGAAAATTTGCTCAGGCGAATGAAGCGAACGGGAGGTAGCGAAAACTACAATTCCCATCAGCCCAGGCTTTGCCATCATCCCTTGCAGTCTGTTGTCGCTACAGATCCAGTAATGCGGAAATGGAGTGTGCTGCTAGAAGCGGGGATGAAAAAGAGCTGGAAATGATCGAACCTGAAGCGGGTGTTGTCGCCGCACGCGTACTGAATAGCGGTGTTGTCGCGCGCGTTCTGATCAGCTGTGTTGTCGCGCGCGTTCTGATCAGCTGTGTTGTCGCGCGCGTTCTGATCAGCTGTGTTGTCGCGCGCGTTCTGATCAGCTGTGTTGTCGCGCGCGTTCTGATCAGCTGTGTTGTCGCGCGCGTTCTGATCAGCTGTGTTGTCGCGCGCGTTCTGATCAGCTGTGTTGTCGCGCGCGTTCTGATCAGCTGTGTTGTCGCGCGCGTTCTGATCAGCTGTGTTGTCGCGCGCGTTCTGATCAGCTGTGTTGTCGCGCGCGTTCTGATCAGCTGTGTTGTCGCGCGCGTTCTGATCAGCTGTGTTGTCGCGCGCGTTCTGATCAGCTGTGTTGTCGCGCGCGTTCTGATCAGCTGTGTTGTCGCGCGCGTTCTGATCAGCTGTGTTGTCGCGCGCGTTCTGATCAGCTGTGTTGTCGCGCGCGTTCTGATCAGCTGTGTTGTCGCGCGCGTTCTGATCAGCTGTGTTGTCGCGCGCGTTCTGATCAGCTGTGTTGTCGCGCGCGTTCTGATCAGCTGTGTTGTCGCGCGCGTTCTGATCAGCTGTGTTGTCGCGCGCGTTCTGATCAGCTGTGTTGTCGCGCGCGTTCTGATCAGCTGTGTTGTCGCGCGCGTTCTGATCAGCTGTGTTGTCGCGCGCGTTCTGATCAGCTGTGTTGTCGCGCGCGTTCTGATCAGCTGTGTTGTCGCGCGCGTTCTGATCAGCTGTGTTGTCGCGCGCGTTCTGATCAGCTGTGTTGTCGCGCGCGTTCTGATCAGCTGTGTTGTCGCGCGCGTTCTGATCAGCTGTGTTGTCGCGCGCGTTCTGATCAGCTGTGTTGTCGCGCGCGTTCTGATCAGCTGTGTTGTCGCGCGCGTTCTGATCAGCTGTGTTGTCGCGCGCGTTCTGATCAGCTGTGTTGTCGCGCGCGTTCTGATCAGCTGTGTTGTCGCGCGCGTTCTGATCAGCTGTGTTGTCGCGCGCGTTCTGATCAGCTGTGTTGTCGCGCGCGTTCTGATCAGCTGTGTTGTCGCGCGCGTTCTGATCAGCTGTGTTGTCGCGCGCGTTCTGATCAACTGTGTTGTCGCGCGCCTTCTGATCAGCTGTGTTGTCGCGCGCCTTCTGATCAGCTGTGTTGTCGCGCGCCTTCTGATCAGCTGTGTTGTCGCGCGCGTTCTGATCAGCTGTGTTGTCGCGCGCGTTCTGATCAGCTGTGTTGTCGCGCGCGTTCTGATCAGCTGTGTTGTCGCGCGCGTTCTGATCAGCTGTGTTGTCGCGCGTTCTGATCAGCTGTGTTGTCGCGCGTTCTGATCAGCTGTGTTGTCGCGCGCGTTCTGATCAGCTGTGTTGTCGCGCGCCTTCTGATCAGCTGTGTTGTCGCGCGCCTTCTGATCAGCTGTGTTGTCGCGCGCCTTCTGATCAGCTGTGTTGTCGCGCGCGTTCTGATCAGCTGTGTTGTCGCGCGCGTTCTGATCAGCTGTGTTGTCGCGCGCGTTCTGATCAGCTGTGTTGTCGCGCGCGTTCTGATCAGCTGTGTTGTCGCGCGCGTTCTGATCAGCTGTGTTGTCGCGCGCGTTCTGATCAGCTGTGTTGTCGCGCGCGTTCTGATCAGCTGTGTTGTCGCGCGCGTTCTGATCAGCTGTGTTGTCGCGCGCGTTCTGATCAGCTGTGTTGTCGCACGCGTAGAAAATACCGGTGTTGTTGCGCGCGTTCTGATCAGCTGTGTTGTCGCGCGCGTTCTGATCAGCTGTGTTGTCGCGCGCGTAGAAAATACCGGTGTTGTTGCGCGCGTTCTGATCAGCTGTGTTGTCGCGCGCGTACTGTAAAGCGGGGAGGGGGGTTGAGCGCGCATACTCAAGAGCGGTGTTGTCGCGTGCCTACTGAAGGGCGGGACGGAGGGTGTGACACAGCACACTATTCAGATTGATACAGACATGAGACCTCTATCTCACTCATGGCTTGTCCTCTCAAGTGGGGGAAAGACAATGCACAACGTTACGCACTTTTTTGGAGTATTTTCATAAGTTTTGTTTTTTCCTGTAAATGATTCAATAAATACCGTACCGTGACATTCATACCGAGGTATTACCGTACCGTGAAATTCTGGTACCGTTACATCCCTACTATATGTACACTACACACCAGCTGATTGGTGGAGAGGGTGATGAAGCCTATTATGATAATGGGAGGGTAAGGAAGCCAGGATGGACAGAGGCCAGAGGGCAAATTTGGCCTGGATGCCGGGGTTAAACCCCTACACTTTTGCAAAGGACATCCGGTGATTTTTAATGACCACAGAGAGTTGGGACCTCGGTTTAACATCTCATCCAAAACACGGCGCTCACTGAGCAGTATAGAGTCCCCTTCACTATACTGGGGCGTTAGAAACCAGATAAACCACAGGTTAGGCGCCCCCTGCTGGTCTCTCTAACACCACTTCCAGCAGCAACCTAGCTTTCCCATGCAGTCTCCCATCCAGGTACTGACCGGGCGCAGCCCTGCTTAGCTTTAGTGTGCGACCATGTGAGAGTTGCAGAGAGCCAGAGAATGTGTGTGTTTGTATGAGAGTATGTGCCAGTGTAAATGTGTTTATGTGCGCATGTGTGTAATGCTTGAGCGTGCATGTGTGTGTGTGTGTGTACCTGCAGTGGAGCAGGGAAACAGCTAAGAGTGTGAGAGGCCCAGTTATGAGGTGTGAAGTTCATGATGGTCTGCAGGATGTCTTTACACCAAGTGCCCTGAATCGAGTCCGAGCCTGTAAAGAAATCTGCATGCACACACAAACAGAGAGACAGACCGACAGACACAGGCAGAGACATACAAACAGATCTGACTATATTCAGGACTACGCATTTACAATGTAAAAAAAAAATTAGTCGTAAGTGTGTGTGAATGAAATGTGTGTGCGTACCTGTGACGTGAGTGGCCCGGGCCAGTGTGAGGATGAGTGCTCGGTTTAGCTCCTCAGACTCGGCCGACAGCACTGTTTTTGGGTCGTTGAGGAACCGTGTGAACTGAGGCTGAACCTCGGAACTACCCAGAGCCGTGATCAGGCGCAGAGCTGTGCTTTCAACACTGTCAAGAGACAGACAGACAGACAGACAGACAGACAGACAGACAGACAGACAGACAGACAGACAGACACACGCACACACACGCACACACGCACACACACAGAGAGAAAGAGTTGAATATTAATGTGATATATTGAATAATATGATTTATTGTTGATATTTTATTTAATTATTATATATAAATATCATCTTTTTTTATTTATTTTTTACCACTACTATTGACTGTGTGTACTGTTCTTTTTTTAATATATATGCATGCTACTTTTATGTAAATTGTATAACTGCTTTGACAATACATTTTTAACAATTGTCATGCCAATAAAGCAATTATTGAATTGAATTGAGAGAGAGACTCTGTAAATCATTATGGATTATTAATACATAAATATAGTTTTTTTTTTATTCACAGGAGGGCAAATAGTTTCGACTTCAACTGTATAACACTTGTCGATCATTAATGGCATGAAGTGGAAACTAACAGTGAAGTTAAACAGTTATCAGTTAAGTTGAACAGTGTGTGTGGGCGGAGTCTAACCAGAGGTGCAGCTGGTTCTGATTGGTCTGTGGGACAGCGGCGAGCGAGTGCAGATGGGACAGGAGCTGCACGCGGTAATGAGGCTGAATGTGGTGCATGCGGTAGCTGAACATCTCCAGCAGTGTGTGCAGAATCCCCCACGCGTGAGACTTGAACACATTCGGCAGAAGCTGACCTGTAAGAAAGACGCATACAGGTTTATCTTTGTGAATTGTGGGGACCTTACATAGGTTTAGATTGTTTTTTTAATGAACAAACTGTATTTTGTATCGCTCTAACCCCACCCTACCACCAAACCCAACCCTCACAGGAAACTGTAGACAGATTTACTTTCTGAAAAACACTCAGTCTCTGTGATTTAGAAGCTTTTGGAGAAATGAGGACATCAGCAATGTACTCACGGTTCACCACATTTTTGCAATACCGGTGTCATACCCCTGTCATTATACACATTTGTGTCCTGATAAGTCAGTAAATCCTGATTTTGAATTATACACTTGATTTGAACTTTATCTCATACTTTTGATTTAGTAATTAGATTTCGACTTAGTCTTTTTGTCATAATTTTAAGTTAGTTTTTCATCATTTTGACAAAACAACTTATCATTAAAACAACTTATCTCAATTTTGATTTAGTAAGTCATAATTTTGAGTTAGTAACTTAATTTTTACAGTTATAATTTTGACTTAATATGTGTAACCCATCAATCCTACTGCACCCAACCTGATCTGAGCTGGCATCAAACCGGCGATTCTTTGCATGGGAGTCGGTTGCTCTAACAAGGAGGCTAAAGACCATGGCCTCTAAGGGTGCTTTCACACCTGCCTTATTTAGTTCGACTGAATCGCACTAGAGTTCGTTTCCCCTTTTGGTGCAGTTTGTTTGGGCTGGTGTGAATGCAGCAATCATACTCGAGTGCGCACCAAAAGCGGACCAAATAAGCGTGCCGAGACCTGCTTGAAGAGGTGGTCTCGGTACACTTTCAAACGAACCCTGGAGCGGTTCGTTTGTGGTGAGAATATGATCCGTACTAAAACAGGTCCAACCGCAAAAAGTACTGCGCCTTTTGGACTAATCCAGCTGCCGTAGGCCGATGCGCTGTGCATTATGGGATATGGAGGAAAAATATTTGTTGACAGCGCTTTACCAACAGAGAGAGAGAGAGAGAGGGGGGAAAACATTACCTGATGGATCATTGCTAATATTTCCGCAAGATGAGCATGTCGCAGTTTAGCTAAATTAATTCACGCCTCCTCCTGAAATGACGTGCGATGCATTAAAACATTGTTTTCGAGCCGCGGCTGCGCTTCATTCTCAAAGTGTATAGTTTGTCTAAAGCAGGCATACAATCAGTCAGCGCAGCCGTCCCTTCAGAGTATTAACGACATTTTCTGTCTGCCGGTTTGTTTACTTGCGGGAGTTCATTGACATTTTCCCGCACGTGAATTCTAACCAATCAATAAGCAGTTTAGGAAGTATGTTCAACAACATCTGGCCAATGAGAGATGTGGATTTTGTCAGATGAATGCATTTTGGTTCGTTTCAACTGGTTCGGACCAAAGCCAGCAGTGTGGTGTGAAAACAACCCAAAGAGGGCAGAAAATGCAACAACGCATCATTTATTGCCCTTGGTCCAGACCAAATGATGTGAACTACAGATGTGAAAGCACCCTATGTTTCTGTCACTATGCACCTTTTGAGGTCAGAGGAGTGAGGTTTACCTTAATAGTACTCGGCTAAATGGCATCCGTTACACTTACCCCCCCCTTAACCTCACTCCCATCCCGGACGAGCCCCCATATGTGACCCACCAGTCCTACTGCACCCAACCTGCGCTGAGCTGGGATTGAACCGGCAATTCTTTGCATGGGAGTCGGTTGCTCTAACAAGGAGGCTAAAGACCATGGCCACTAGCGTCTGTTGCAAGTAGGGTTGGGTGATGTCTAACAATTTGGCAACGTACGATGTCTAACGTGAAACATTGCGATGGAAGATGGCATCGTCGTCATAGGCGGAGGTGAGTTAATTATTTATGAATAATGAATTAATTCATAACGAATTATTATTTGTAGCCTACCGTTTCAACTACCTGACCCGCATGGTGTTTATTTCATCCATAACCAAATCATAAATAAATAAAGATAAGCTACATAAATTACCACCTGTCAATCGTTTTTTCCGCAGGAGGTTGTTCTGTAAAAAAGGTGCACAACAAACAGTATCTAAGGCTTTCACTAAAGTGACTAAGTACAAGCGTGAAAGTGAAAGATTGAAGCATTGAACTGATGCTGTGACACGTTACCTGATAGATTCAAAAGACAGAAGAGTCGTTAGATAGAGACAAGATTAATTAGATATCCAGTTTAACAACTATAGTGAGACGCGATCAAGCGGTACATGCTTGATAAACTGTTTGACTTGCACTGCTTTCTGGAGCTCAAGTCCTACTGCACCCAACCCAGTCTGAGCTGGGATCAAACTAGGAGTTGGTTGTCTTTGCATGGGAGTTGGTTGCTCTAACAAAGAGGCTAAAGACACTGGCGTCTGTTGCTAGAGCAACTTTTAACATATCTTTTACCATCATTTTAACATATCTCATATTTATATTAGTAAAGAATTAATAAATCATAATTTTTACCTTTGATGTCATAATTTTGACTGTTAAAGTATAATATTTATTTTTGAGTGTCTTGATTTAAATTTTTACCTCATATTATTGATTTCTTAACCCATAAGTTTAACTTTGTACATATAACCGAATTTACTTTTGACAGTCATAATTTACCATTTATATAATAATAATTAATCTATCGTAATCATCAACTTATGAAATCATTTCATCTGTTTATGCCCAAATGTATATCTTAAAAGGCAAAAATGTGCTTCTATACATTAATATACAGACTTACTGATGAATCCCTTGATGCCGAGCGACTCAATCTCCATGTAGACCAGCAGCCGGCTGTACGTCTCCACCAGCGCAGGAGCCAGAGCCAGACTGGACTTAGCGTGGGCTAGTTTAATAACACGGGTGGCGATGCTGTGGATCAAACTAAGGGCGAGAACAGCAGAGAATATGATGCTTGATTAATGCACTGAAATACATTATGCATGTGCATATTAGCATATATATTTAAGAGATGCTGACGACACTTTTACGCACAACCAGATGTAAGCAATGTCAGAAATTAAGGGTTATTCCGTAACAGCTTATAGGATGGAAAAGGAGTAAAAGAGCTAGGAATATGTGATGTAGTATCTGCTTTAATAATGTCTGCTAGTATATGCATTTCAATCTTAGGCCCTTTATCACACCAAACATGCTTTTCGTGTTGAGTGGCAGCTTTTTAAATGTTTTTTTAATGGCTGAGAGTCTTCTATTCAGTTCAAAACTAGATTAGAGATCTCTTTTAATAATGCTATGATGCATGAGTGTGCCCCATGCAGGAAAGTGGGCTTGCCAACCACCTGAAGGACACGCTCCTCCTGTCTTAATGCACCAGACATTTTGTAAGAAACACTCCTATGTTTACATGTTTGTTCATTGGTATTTAATATCTCTTTAAATACTCTATGTACAGCAGCTACTCTTATTATTTTCTTTGTTTCTTATTTCCACCAGGTGGTACTCATCCTGAGGCCACTAGAGATTGTGCAGCACCATCGATCCAAGACCTGTGTAGACTTAATGCCAACCACAGAGGACTTCCAGAGGTATCCATAATCCTGGACCAGGCCGTATCCTGAGCTGATGCTGTGGTCGTCATGGAGGAGTGGAGAGCATGAGACGGATTCCTGAAAGACTCCAGTGACAGACGAGTCGCTGCATTGTTCCCATACGCCAGCCTGAACACTTGCCTGGGGCCTTATCCTGAGTCCTGGCATGGTGATGCGGACAGCCGCCGACTTGTGGCGCCGGTGTGTGTACCCTGATAGAAACCTATGTTTAGAATTCTAAAATGCATGGCGCTGCGTCGCCGAGCGGCGCTTCTGGTGTGCGATGTGCTTTATGTTCTTGTCGCATCTCCAGTGGCACCGGAATTAGGCACCGAAATTCATATGCTGGTCCGGTGCATACCGGTTACAAATGTACCAGTACCCAACCCTAGTCCTCGCCTGTGTGAACAGCTTGACCCAGAAGCATAAATCAGCTTCTAGTAGGTGTGCATCAGGATACGGTGAAGGGTATGCAACTACGCCTGAACTGACTGACCTTTTGTGACAGCATGTACAAGACACAGCGAGTGTGGTGCAGAATATAAACTGGCTCATCATCATGTGTGTTTCTTCTCTGCATCTCATTATCTAGATTGTCTAGTTTGAGTGATTCAAGTCTCATTAAATATTTAATGTAAAACTGGCCTTACAGTGGGAGAGTCTGCTGGTCCCAAAGAGAAGAAGACAAGCTTTTTCCATTTTTCCATTTGCATAATCTGAATATAAAGGTCAGTGCTTTGGTTTCAAAGGAAGTCTACACAGAAATAGGAATTGTAAACACTGGATGCAATACGACCAGGTGCTGCACACACTTAAACAGTGTCTCTTCTCTTTGCAATGTTAGGTTGCAAAGACACAAACATACATTCTCACATTGTATTGGATGGCTTGTTTCCACTAGGTGGAGTAATTCAGAATAGTATTGTTATTTTTTTTTTTGGGGGGGGGGGGGGGGGGGGTGGCATGTGTAGAACTCAAAATAGAACTTTTTTTAGATTTTGTTTGAAGTTTATCTGAGCCTTTACCTGGCAGACAAAGTATTCTGCAAAAAGTTAGCATTTATATACTAAAAATTTTGTCATCAGTTCAGCCGGAGGTGACCATTTTGTTCTCTTTGGATGGAAATGGCATTTTATTTTAAAGTGTTTCATGTGATATTCCAGTTTTACGCATATATCTATTTGCATGTTCAGATGGAAACTATCTAGCGCTCTATGTTAGTTTTTAACCGAAGACGTCGCTCTAGGCTAGTTAGTAACAGCAGATGGCGCTCTAGGCTAGTTATTAACAGCAGACGGCGGTCTAGGCTAGTTATTAACAGCAGACGGCGCTCGAGGCTAGTTTATATCAGCAGACAATGCTCTAGAATAGTTTTTATAAGCAGGGGGCGCTCTAGGCTAGTTTGTAACAATGCACTGCGCTCTAGGCTAGTTTTAAACAGCAGACGGAGCTCTAGGCTAGTTTTTAACCGAAGACGGTGCTCTAGGCTAGATACTAACAGCAGACGGCGTTCTAGGCTAGTTTTTAACCAAAGACGTTGCTCTAGGCTAGATACTAACAGCAGAGGGCGCTCTAGGCTAGTTTTTAAACAGCAGATGGTGCTCTAGGCAAGTTATTAACAGCAGATGGCACTCTAGGCTAGTTTTTAACCGAAGACGTTGCTCTAGGCTAGATACTAACAGCAGAGGGCGCTCTAGGCTAGTTTTTAAACAGCAGATGGTGCTCTAGGCAAGTTATTACCAGCAGATGGCGCTCTAGGCTAGTTTTTAACCGAAGACGGTGCTCTAGGCTAGTTTTTTAAACCAAAGACAGCACTCTAGGCTAGTTGTTAACAGCAGATGGCCCTCTAGGCTAGTTTTTAAACAGCAAACGGCGCTCGAAGTTAGTTTTTATTAGCAGATGGCGCTCTAGGCTAGTTTTTAACAACAGACTGTGCTTTAGGTTAGTTTTTACCAGCAGACAGAGCTCTAGGCTAGTTTTTAACAGCAGAAGGCACTCTATGCAAAGTTTTAATAGAGGACGGTGCTCGAAGCTAACTTTTAACAACAGACTGTGCGCTCGAGGCTAGTTTTTAACAACAGACATTACTTTAGCTATTTTTAACAGCAGAGGGTGCTCTAGGCTAGTTTTTAATAGAGGATGGCGCTCGAGGCTAACTTTTAACAACAGAAGGTGCGCTAGAGGCTAGTTTTTAATCAACAGGTGTTGCTTTAGCTATTTTTAAGAGCAGATGATGCTTTAGCCAAGTTTTTAACAACAGACAGTGCTTTAGCTAGTTCCAATAGTAGATGGTGCTCTAGGCTAGTTTTAACAACAGACAGCGCTCTAGGCTAGTTTTTGATCAGTCTTACCTCATCTTAGCATGGACGGTTAGGGAGTCCAGCAGGTTCATGGGCAGTGGCGTGACAGAGCCGGACGCCATGCAATTGGTGCCTGGCAGAGTGATGCGCATGCTACCATTGCCGTAGATGGTCTCCACCAGGACGCCCATGGGCAGCGTGAAGCACTCGGAGTTGGTGGAGTAGGCGTTACACAGCAGAGCGATTTTATAGTCTGTCATGGGCAAACTCTTATTGCGCAGACTCTGCTGGAGAAACCTGGACACACAGAGGAGATGCTGTGAGGCACAGTGTGGTTGTGTGTGTGTGTGTGTGTGTGTCTCTGTGTGTGTGTGTTCTCACTCATGGTGCAGCTTCAGTGAGTGTGGGATGGGGATCTGCAGTTTGGAGTTGTCGTTCTGGGCTTTGCGGTTGAGGTGAATCCAGATGCAGGTCATGGCGAATGCGTGTGTGGACTGGGGCTTGTTGATGTCCGGGACTGGAATACACTGAGCACAAAACAAAACACACAAACACAACTCTGGTAAAACACATGAAGCATCTGCAGCAATTCGCTCACTTCAACCCGAGCACTACTCTTGGGTAGCCAGAGTGACGGCTGAAGGTCTGGGACAGGGGTGCCCAAACTCTGTCCTGGAGGGCCGGTGTCCTGCAAAGTTTAGTTCCAACCCTAATCAAACACACCTGGGCTGGCTAATCAAGCTTTTACCAGGCTCTCTAGAAAACATCCAGGCAGGTGTGTTGAGGCAGGTTGGAGCTAAACTTTGCAGGACACCAGCCCTCCAGGACCATGTTTGGACATTGGAGCTTTGGCCGCTTTAAATGGTCAAGCCCCACCCATTATATGACTGACAAGCTAACCAACCAATCACATTTTGTTTTGTGCAACTTCATGTCTGTGGAAGTAGAACTGCCCTCAGAATAACAGTGCGAGATGCAACTTTGCATTGTTTATTCACAAACTTTTTTTAAACTTTACAACAGCAACGCATCAATATTATAAATAATCTCTCAGCAAAGCGTATAAGAAATCAGTTGTAGATGTGTATAGACTTTGTACTCACACTAGGCACGGTTGTCTTGAACTCCCCTGTTTATACACATTTACATAAGTTAATAAACAGACTCACTGGCAAAAAAAAATTAGCGTAAATCTGCAGTCCTAGTTCAGACTCCTGGGCTTGAACTGTGTGATGTTTTCCTCTGGTAAGCGTGTAATTGCCTTGTGCTAGTTACAGGCTTTAGTTAAACCCATGTGTGTGTGTGTGTTGCAGCACATCTGCCGTTCACAGATGCTGTTTGCTAATGGCTGGATCATAGCAGACGCAGCCGGCAGCCCGTCTCTCATCATCAGCCCTGTGGGGTTCACACACTTACACACAACTGAGAGGCTGTAAATGGACAACGCTGTGTGTGAACATCTCTGATCAGAGAGCTAAATCTGGCTGCGCTAATGACGGATGACTGATGAGGGTTCTGTGGTAGTGTGTCTGTAAACTGTTGGTTCGTTAAATGCCTGGAAACACCAAGCTGATGGTCAGCCACTGAGCTTCATCGGTCAGGGGTGTGTTTCCCATACAACCTCATAACTCGCAGCCGAACTACCTTAGTACTCCCAAGCCATGGACTTTTCTCTCTGCTACCCTGCAAGACGGTTCCGCAGCATCCGGTCACGCACCAGCCGGCTGAAGGAAATTTTTTTTGCTTAGACTTTCAGGATGATGAACACTTAACAACACACCCCACACAGACTCTTCCATACCCCTCACTGCACACCTTCAATATGTAGCATGCACTGCTCACCTAATGTTAACGCTCCTAATATTTATATTATTAGCTAATTCAAGAGTTCACACTTAGCTGATGATTTATAAAAGCTTGTTTGGCATGCTGTCCCGGGAGAGAGCCCCGAGCTCAAGGACTCCTCGAGTTCGGGGCTTCCTCCTGTTTGGCAGAGCGAGAGGGGAGCCTGAGCTCGGTGGATCTCAGAACTCCCCCGCTGCGGTAGCTAAGGGAACACGAGGGTTAGATAAATGCTTGGTTATGTATGTTGAATGTCTTTGGATGGTGGGAGGCAACCGGAGAACCTGGGGAAAACCCACGCGGACACGGGGAGAACATACAAACTCCTCACAGAAACACCCACCGGTCCTGGGGGACCAGGGCCGGCGGTGTTCTTGCTGTGGGGCTCGCAGTGCTAACCACTGGGCCGCCGTGTTGCCCAGTCATAGGTAAAGGAGGAGAAAAGGGGAGGAGGGGGGTTTCTTCCAAACGAAGATAAAGTGAACTGAAAACTGTGGTTATTTATAGTAGCTTAGGGCTCGAATGATTGGAAGATACTGATTAGCAAATTCGAGACCGGCCGTGATAAATCATAAGCACGTGATCCTCTCGAAATTAGTTTATGAATAAACTTCACTTAATAACTTAATGTGAAACTATCAATCCGCGTCTCATTTCAGAGTCTGCTACTGTCCATCATAAGTCGACGTTTCAATCTCAGACGCACACTTTGAGAGCCTTCCTGACTGAATGAACGAAATGAATGAAATACGGTATTTTCCACCAAGGCAACCCGGGGTGCTGAAATATAATTGGCTAAACTGGCAGTAGGTGGGTTAAATGACCAAAACAAAGACAGCTGCTCCAGCACGTAACGCACATTCTCAAAGCAGAATATCTGACTTCAGTGCTGTTTTACAAATAAACAAAAACGTCACAGAGCATGTTTCTGAATATCTGCAAACATATTATGGTGTTTTTATGCTTTAGAAGAGCCAAGCACGTACATACGGCACCTTTAATTAGGCAGTTTATTGGAGAATAGTAATTTGTTCCAAAGCCAATTAAAATTAGTTATTTAAAAAAAAAATAAAAGGCATAATAATAGTGACCTTAGCAGTTTTTACATTTGTATATGTTGACAAATGTGGTTTGAGAACTAAAGGTATAACAAAAGTTAATCTGGGGTGAGTGATGTGACTACACTAAAATTAAAATATGTAAATGAGAAAACTCCGCCCCTCAGACACTCCCCTAACCCCTAATATAAATTATTCAACAGCAATGTGTTGAGTATCACATTATGAACTCATTCACCTCTTTCTCAGGGTACAGCAGGTCGAAGAGCTTCATGACGGGGAGAAAGTCTCCCAGAGCGTTCTTCTGAATGCTGCCGGAGATGAACTGCAGCAGAACCCACATCAGATGATCCCTGCCCTTGATCAAACCCCGACCTGCCAGCTAAAGGAGCCAGAGGAACAGACATGCAGTCAGTGAAACACAGCCTATAAGCGTTTTACAGGTGATTAGTGTAGTTTAGATGTAGTCCTGGTCAGAAATGTGCCTTCTATTTTTTTTTTTTTTTGGTAGTTGCCTCTCACCCATTTAAAGAGAGATAACAACTGAAGCTTTTACGCATTGTAAACATTGTACAGCTACCTGAAAGCATTCGACCACATTAGAGTTTACGATAAAAGGTCAAATTAATCCAGTTATCTAAAAACTAGGTTAAAGCACTAAATACTATCCCGGAGAAGCTATCTGCTGTTAAAAACCAGCCTAGAGCAACGTCTGCTATTAAAATCTAGCCTAGAGCAACATCTGCTGTTAAAAACTAGCCTAGACCACCATCTGCTGTTAAAAACTAGCCTAGAGCACCATCTGCTGTTAAAAACTAGCCTAGAGCACCATCTGCTGTTAAACAATAGCCTAGAGCAACTTCTGCTATTAAAATCTAGCCTAGAGCAACGTCTGCTGTTAAAACTAGTCTAGAGCAACGTCTGCTGTTAAAACTAGTCTAGACTGCTGTCTGCTGTTAAAAACTAGCCAAGAGCACTGTCTGCTGTTAAACACTAGCCTAGAGCGCCATCTGCTATTAAAATCTAGCCTAAAGCAACATCTGTTGTTAACAACTAGCCTAGAGCAACATCTGCTGTTAAAAACTAGCCTAGAGCAACATCAGCTGTTAAAATCTAGCCTAGAGCAACGTCTGCTGTTAAAACTAGTCTAGAGCAACGTCTGCTGTTAAAACTAGTCTAGACCGCTGTCTGCTGTTAAAAACTAGCCAAGAGCAATGTCTGCTGTTAAACACTAGCCTAGAGCGCCATCTGCTATTAAAATCTAGCCTAGAGCAACATCTGCTGTTAACAACTAGCCTAGAGCAACATCTGCTGTTAAAAACTAGCCTAGAGCAACATCAGCTGTTACAACTAGTCTAGAGTGTTATCTGCTGTTAAACACTAGCCTAGAGCAACGTCTGCTATTAAAATCTAGCCTAGAGCAACATCTGCTGTTAACAACTAGCCTAGAGCAATATCTGCTGTTAAAAACTAGCCTAGAGCAACATCTGCTGTTAAAACTAGTCTAGAGTGTTATCTGCTGTTAAACACTAGCCTAGAGCAACGTCTGCAATTAAAATCTAGCCTAGAGCAACGTCTGCTGTTAAAAACTAGCCTAGAGCAACATCTGCTGTTAAAAACTAGCCTAGAGCAACATCTGCTGTTAAAAACTAGCCTAGAGCAACATCTGCTGTTAAAACTAGTCTAGAGCGCCGTCTGCTGTTAAAGCTAGCCTAGAGCGCCGTCTGCTGTTAAAACTAGTCTAGAGCGCCGTCTGCTGTTAAAGCTAGCCTAGAGTGCCTTCTGCTGTTAAAACTAGTCTAGAGCGCCGTCTGCTGTTAAAAACTAGCTTAGAGCGCCGTCTGCTGTTAAAACTAGCCTAGAGCATTGTCTGCTGTTAAAACTAGCCTAGAGCGCCATCTGCTGGTAAAACTAGTCTAGAGCGCCATCTACTGGTAAATACCAGCCTGAGGACATTGCTGAAGTGTGTGTGTGTGTGTGTGTGTGTGTGTCTCTGTACCTTCTGATGGAGCGACAGCACCATGTGAGGGAAGCTGGCAAACTGGAAGAGGACGAAGAAGATGAGCTGGCTGGACAGATGCTGCCACAGGAGCTGGCTGGTGCCGCCGTCATCAAACTGCTCCTCAGTCTCAGAGCGCTCCATGGCATAAACCACCAGATCCACCAGCTGGTCCTCCAGAACCGGACACCTCTGCTTGTGCTGCAGTGGGTAGAACAGTGGACAAAAGTGCACTCTTACACAGACCAGAACCACCGCAAACACACCACACACCAGCAGCATTGGGGGAATGCATTACAACTGAAATGTTCATTTATCACACACATCTGCGATATGCATATTGCATACACTATTATTGTGATGAGAATAATTTAGCAATATATCGTAAGGCCTATTTCAGAACAAGGTTTTTCTAACCGATGAACAGTTAAAGGGGCTGTGCATTTAACAGTTTAAACAAAACATAGCACTCCCTCTGGTTTTCAATAGTATTTGGTTTCAGTTGGAAGCACAATTTGATAAACTACTAGAAAGCAAGTTTTTTTTTATGCCGGAATGTACAACCCCAAATCAGAAAAAGTTGGGAAAGTATAGAAAACGTAAATAAAAAAATACTGCAGTGATTTCAATTTTTTTTTACTTGTATTTCATAGCAGACAATATAAACACAAAATATTTGATGTTTTGTCTGGTCAACTTTATTTCATTTGTAAATATAGATCCTTTCCTGTGATGCAGACCTGCAACACATTCCAAACTGTAAGAAATGAGTCCGCCTCGACCCAACTTCCACTCTAAATGGTGAATTGATGCTCATTTCCCAAAAGGGCTGACTTATGAGAGAAAAGAGAAGTCAACAAGGTCTTGTCTCTGCATTGTTTGAGGTGACTACATCTCAACCAAATGGTAACAATTGTAGAATGGGGATGGGTGTGGTGCACAAAGAACCATCTCATCAATGGTGTTGAAACTGCATTAACATGGAGAGATAGGGAGAACAGCTGGGTCAACAGCCAAGGAGCAACTTCATTAACATCTAAAGGCAACATCAAAAACAGTATAAGGGTTTGAGTTTAAGAATGTTCAGGGTTCATTCTGACTCCGGTAAACCCAAGGTACTGCCATGTATTTTGAGACTGCTATGCTGAATAAACATCTTCATTGAGATTTTCTTCGTCATCATCATTTTTTCTTACAAAACAAAGTTGGACAGGAGCAGGGCCGGAGTGGGACTCCTTACCCTTCAGGCTGCATTTTGCTTATGGGGCTGCGAGACAATAAATAAGAAGAGCAGAGCTGCAGCTAAATAATGAATAAAAAGAGTGAGGCTATGGTCAAATAAATAAATAAATAAATAAAAAGAGGGACTGCTGAGAGTGCAAGCAGCTAGAAACACCAGCCCTCGCGGCTAAAAAACAGACCGGCCCACCAGGAACTCTCCCGGTCCTCCCGATTGGCCAATCCGGGCCTGGACAAGAGCAGTTTAGGGCTAGTAATCAGGTAAATTGTTTAAATAATGATGTGATTTGAAACAGGTGATGTCAACATGTGATTGCAATTGTTTGGACATGGTCCAGTCGTTTAGAAGCAAAGATGGGCCAAGGATCGCCAGTTTGACAACAAATACGCGAGAAATTGTATAGAAATGTATAAAAACGAAACGAGATGAAGACATTTGGATATTTCACCTTAAACAGTGCAGATCATCATTAAAAGATTGAAGGAATCTGAAAGAATTTCAGTGTGTAAAGGACAAGAGCGCAAGCCTAAGATGAACAACCGCGATTTCCAATCCCTTAGGTGGCGCTGCATCAAGAATACTCATTCAACTAAATGTGACATCACCACATGGGCTCAGAACTACTTTGGCAAACCTTTGTCAAGAACCACAATACATGGTTACATCCACAAATGCTAGTGAAAACTGCACTGTGCCAAAAGGAAGCCCTATGTTAACAGTGTCCAGAAGCCCCATGGACTTCTCTGGGCTCAGAGGCATCCGGGATGAACCATCACACAGTGGAAACATGTACTGTTGTCAGATGAATCAGTAGTTCAGGTATTTTTTTGAGGAGAAATGTGCTCTGTACCAAAGAAGAAAAGGATCATCCAGATTGTTACCAGCAACAAGTCCATAAGCCAGGGTCTGTCATGGTATGGGGTTGAGTCAGTGCCCTTGGCTTGGTTACTTGCACTTCTTTGACGGCAGCATTAATGCTGAAAAGTACACAGAGATTTCAGAGCACAATCTGCTGCCTTCTCTTCCAGGGACACCCATGCATATTTCAAAAAGACAATGCAAAACCAAATTCTGCACACATTACAAAGTCCTGCTGCAGAGCAAGAGATACAGGTACTTAACTGGCCTGCCTGCAGTCCCGACCTGTTTTCAATAGAGACTGTGTGGAGCATTTTGAAGTGCAAAATGCAACATTGAAAACCCTGTATTGTTGTGCACCTTAAGACTTGTTTGCAGAGAGGATTGGCCAAAATGACACCTGAAACACTTCATCACTTGGTGTCTTCAGCTTCTAAATGTCTTTTAAGTGTTGTGAACAGAAATGGCAACATTACAAAGTAGTTATTCAATTCAATTCAATTCAGCTTTATTTGTATAGCACTTTTACAATGTAGATCGTGTCAAAGCAGCTTCACATAAATGGTCATAGTAACTGGAACAGTGTAGTTCAGTTTAAGTGCATTACTGTTCCTACTTTTTTTTAAATGTGTTGCAAGAACCATCTTGTAATATGTGGCGATTTTGAAAGCAATAAATAAATAAATAAAAAAATCACAAGAGGGACATTAAATAATGTTTGCTGCATTGTCTGCAATAAAACACAAGTCAAAAATACATTTAGAAATCTGTATTTTGTATTTTTTATTTGCTATTTTACTTTCTTAGCAGTTGAAGCAAACTAAAAAGCACTCATGTGACCACATCTACATCAGTCGTTGGCTAGACAAATTTCCCGAACTGCATTTTGATTGGTCAGAATTATTGCTCAGAGACGTATGTGCTCAACACACATAAGTAAACAAGGAGCAGAGGAAAATTACAAAGGCTGTATGGACCTCCTCACAACTGTTTGTTCACACCCTGCCACAACCTTATACTCATCCCAGAATGTGTTCTCACTGCAAACAAAACAAAAGCTCCGGGGTTTGTTTGAAAGCATAGCAAGACAACCTCTTCTGTGCGCTTGAATGGTTTGCTTTTAGTGCCCACCCAAGTACAATTGCTGCTTTCACACCTGCCCGAATGAACTGCACTAAATAGGCAAATATATAGCTCAATATATACTCCCACTATTATGTTTTCTTCTTAATTTCTGACCAGATACAATGTGGCTCATGATTTAATAGATTTTGAATGAATCATAACAATGACATGAGGAGCCACAGAGCAAACCCTGAGAGGAAGTTAGAGACAGACTGACGATAAACATGAGCGGTAGTATTGAGTGAACACACAGAGCATATACAACACGGCCTCAACACGAATGGCCAAACACGTATGATACACACCAGTGCCTCGCGCTTTACGGCAAACACACACACCTGTGAAAGCATGACATGAGGATGCTCACAGAAGCCCTGATCGTGAGGAAAGCTGCAGTGTATCTGGAAGATCAGTGTTTGAGTGTCGCCCCCTGGTGCCCAAGTGTCAACAGCGCAGCAGTGTGTGTGTGTGTGTGTGTGTGTGTGTTGATACACTGCAGCTCCCCCTGTAAGGTGGCATGCAGGACTGATCATCTGCGATGCTGGAGTGCTGGGTGTGTCAACAATACATGTGGGAATTTAGTGTGCTCGATATATGCTTGAAGACCCCATGAAACGAAATAATCTTCTAAACTGTGCCCACTTTTCACTATTAAAACAGAGAGCTGGAACACACAGAGCACCAGAGAGATGACATGGAGAAACTAAAACCTGTAAACAATGTCCACTTCTGTCTTCCTGAGGCCGGTAGGTAAAGATGTTGTAGATGCATTATCAAATGAATGTCCCTATAAAAATCTAGATTGAAATCTTATTTTAAAGGGAAATTTATAAAACCGATTCATTTATTTTGTCTCTTGTGTCATATAGTTTTCAACTTATCTTCTCACTAGCGATCAAGAAAACTCAAATACTCACTAGTGACCAAGAACCCCCATCAACTCGGTAGTGAACAAGAACCCCCATCTACTCGGTAGTGAACAAGAACCTCCATCTGCTCGGTAATGAACAAGAACCCCCATCTACTCACTAGTGAACAAGAAAACCATCTACTCGCTAGTGACCAAGAACCCCCATCTACTCGGTAATGAACAAGAACCCCCATCTACTCACCAGTGAACAAGATAACCATCTACTCGCTAGTGAACAAGAACCCCCATCTACTTACTAATGAACAAGTGAACTCATCTACTCTCTAGTGAACAAGAACTCCCATCTGCCCACTAGTGAACAAGAAACCGCATCTACTTGCGAGAAAAAGAACTCCCACCTACTCTTTAGTAAACGAGAAAACTCATCTACTCACAAGAACAACTCCAATCTACTCACTAGTAAACAAGAAACCTAATCTACCCACTAGTGAACAAGAAAACCTATTTACCCATTAGTGAACAAGAACACCCATCTACTCACTAGTAAACAAGATAACCATCTACTCACTAGTGAACAAGAACCCCCATCTACTCACAAGTGAAGAACTCCCACCTACTCTTTAGTGAACAAGAAAACTCATCTACTCACTAGAACAACTCCAATCTACTCACTAGTGAACAAGAAACCTAATCTACCCACTAGTGAACAAGAAAACCAATTTACCCATTAGTGAACAAGAACCCCCATGTACTCACTAGTGAACAAGATAACCATCTACTCACTAGTGAACAAGAACCCCCATCTACTCACAAGTGAACAGGAACTCCCATCTGCCCACTAGTGAACAAGAAACCGCATCTACTCACAAGTGAAAAAGAACTCCCACCTACTCTTTAGTGAACATAAAAACTCATCTAATCACTAGAACAACTCCAATCTACTCACTGGTGAACAAGAAACCTAATCTACCCACTAGTGAACAAGAAAACCCATTTACCCATAAGTGAACAAGAACCCTCATCTACTCACTAGCGAACAAGAACCCAATCTACTCACTAGTGAACAAGAACCCAATCTACTCACTAGTGAACAAGATAACTCATCTCACTAGTGAACAATAACCCCTATCTACTCACTAGTAAACAATAAAACTCATCTACTCACTATTGAACAATAACCCCATCTGCTCACAAGTAAACAAGAAACTCATCTACTCATTAGTGAACACGAAAACTCATCTACTCACTAGTAAGCAAGAAAACTCCTCTACTCATTAGTGAAAAATAACCCCATTTACTCACTAGTGAACAATAACCTATCTACTCAGTAGTGAACAATAACCCCATCTACTCACTATTGAACAATAACCCCATCTGCTCACTAGTAAACAAGAAACTCATCTACTCATTAGTCAACAAGAAAACTCATCTACTCACTAGAAGAACTCCAATCTACTCACTGGTGAACAAGAAACTTAATCTACCCAATAGTGAACGAGAAAACCCATTTACCCATTCGTGAACAAGAAACCCCATCTACTCGCTAGTGAACCACAACCCCCATCTACTCACTACTCACCCATCTACTCACAAGGTGGTTCTTGTTTACTAGTGAGTAAATGAGGGTTCTTATTCACTAATGAGTCGATGAGTTATCTTGTTCACTAGTGAGTAGGTAGGGGTTCTTGTTCACTACTGAGTACATTGGGGTTGTTCAGTAGTGAGCAGATGAATCATCCTGTTCACTTGTGAGTAGATAAGTTATCTTGTTCACTAGTGAGTAGGTAGGGGTTTTTGTTCACTACTGAGAACATTGGGGTTGTTCAGTAGTGAGCAGATGAATCATCCTGTTCACTTGTGAGTCGATGAGTTATCTTGTTCACTAGTGAGTAGGTAGGGGTTCTTGTTCACTACTGAGTACATTGGGGTTGTTCAGTAGTGAGCAGATGAATCATCCTGTTCACTAGTGAGTACATGGGGGTTCTTTTTCACTAATGAGTAGATGAGTTTTCTTGTTCACTAGCGAGTAGATGAGTTAGAGGGTAGGAGACTTAACTACTCTAAAGGATGTTATACTATAAAAACAAAAAGTTGACTGAACTTAAAATTACAAGGCAACTTGCTGCAGTCAAGTGCATTACTTGGGTTAAAAGTTGAGTCAACCTAAAAAAGCTGTGCAAAAAGTCAAGTCAACTAATTGCTTTTGACAGTGTATCAAGTGAATGAACTTAAAGTCAATTACACCAGCCTTAGACTAAACTTCACAAAGCTGTCGTTTGATTTCATGGGGTCTTTGAGAGCAAATGGCACAACAAAACGACGGCCGTTCAGCAGCCTTTAAGACCTTCTGTACGATCAACACGTGCACATATATGTTTGTGTTTCCCACAGCTCTCAGCAGCAGATACTCATGTTTACTGCACACAGCTGAATCATCTCCAGAGTGCTAGAGATGATCTTAAAGAGAGGTGTTTCCCTGCGTGTGGGAGACAACCATCTGCACACAACACCCAGAGAGAGCTGATAAACACCAGCAGAACACACACTGAACGCCACTACACACACACACACACAGCATGCGCCGATCAGGGCTTGAAATTAACAGATTGTCTTCATTCTCAGGTACGCTTTTTCATCCCTAAAAGAGGGACAGTGATGTGTGTTTGTGTGTGTGTTTAAGCGTGTTTAGATGAACAATTATACCACAACTCAGTGGACTATTTGCAGACTGGGTTAACGTTAGGGTAGAGTGACTAAAACGCCAAGTAGACATTAAAGGGTCAGTTCACCAAAAATTAAAATATCCTCATCGTTTACCCCCACTCAAGAGGTTCTAGATCAGGGATGTCAAACTCAATTCCTGGAGGGCCGCAGCTCTGCACAGTTTAGTTCTAACACTAATTAAACACACCTGATCAAACTAATTGAGTCCTTCAGGCTTGTTTGAAACCTACAGGTAAATGTGTTGGAGCAGGGTTGGATAACAACAATATTATTGCGGTATAGCTTAAATAAACTTTATAACGCAAAAACATTGCGCACACATATTAGTTTTGTGTCAGTTAAATCAGTTGACTGTTGAAATTCTAAATTTTAACTCAAATGGTTGAGTTATTAAATAAATAACCAAATTAAGGGAAAAAATAACCCAACAAAGCACCAAATATTTAATTCAACTGGTTAAGGTATTAATTAATAACCTAATAAAGGTTAAAAATAACCCAACAAAGCATCAAATATGTTTAACTCAACCACTGGTCTAAATAAATAACTCAACGTTATTTAGAGTGCACGTCCAAACGTTTTTAAAAGATGGTCTTGGTTGGTGAAACGGATTTAAAAACCACGTCATGGAGCGGTAATTTGAGAAATAAATAACAACAATATTATTGCGTTATAGCCTACATAAACTTTATAACGCAAAAACAACATTATGCATGCTTATTAATACAGCTGTTCTGTGTCAGTTTAATGAGTTAACTATTGAAATGCAATTTTTTAACTCAACCGGTTGAGTTATTAATAAAATAACCAAATAAACGTTAAAAATAACCCAACAAAGCACCAAATATTTTACTTAACTTGTTGAGTTATTAATAAATAACATAATAAAGGTTAAAAATAACCCAACAAAGCACCAAATACGTTTAACTGAGCCATTGGGTTAAATAAATAAATTAACGATTTTTAGAGTGCACGTCCAAACACTTCAAAAAGATGGTCTTGGATGGCGAAACGAATATGAAAACACGGCATGGAGAGGTAATTTTATAAAAAATAACAACAATATTATTGGGTTATAGCTTAAATAAACTTTATAACGCAAAAACATTACGCACGAATATTAATACAGCTGTTTTGTGTCAGTTAAATCAGTTGACTGTTAAAATTCACATTTTTTAACCCAACTGGTTGAGTTAATGATAAATAACCAAATTAAGGTTAAAAATAACCCAACAAAGCACCAAATATTCCACTTAACTAATTGAGTTATTAATAAATAACCTAATAAAGGTTAAAAACAACCCAACAAAGCACCAAATATGTTTAACTTAACCAATGGGTTAATAAATAACTCAACGTTTCTTACAGTGCACGTCCAAACGCTTCTAAAAGAGGGTCTTGGATGGTGAAACGAACATAAGAACCACGACACGGAGAGGTAATTTGATAAAAAATAACAACAATTTTATTGCGGTATAGCTTAAATAAAGTTTATAACACAAAAACATTACGCACCCATATTAGTTTTGTGTCAGTTAAATTAGTTAACAATTGAAATTCAAATTTTTAACTCAAATGGTTGAGTTATTAAATAAATAACCAAATTAAGGTTTAAAATAACCCAACAAAGCACCAAATATTTAACTTAACTGGTTGAGTTTTTAATAAATAACATAACCCTGCTGAAAAATCCAGCTTAAACCAGCCTAGGCTGGTTGGCTGGTTTTAGCTGGTCAACCAGGCTGGTTTTAGAGGGGTTTTGGCCACTTCCAGGCTGGTTTCCAGCCATTTCCAGCCTGGTCTTAGCTGGTTAGGCTGGGAGATGACCAGCTAAAACCAGCTTGACCAGCCTAGCAGGCTGGGAGCCCAGCCAAAACCAGCTATGTCCAGCTTAAACCAGCCTGGTCAAGCTGGTTTTTGCTGGATTTAGCTGGTCATTTTCCAGCCTGACCAGCTAAGACCAGGCTGGAAATGGCTGGAAACCAGCCTGGAAGTGGCCAAAACCCCTCTAAAACCAGCCTGGTCGACCAGCTAAAACCAGCCAACCAGCCTAGGCTGGTTTAATCTGGATTTTTTTAGCAGGACAAGGTTAAAAACAACCCAACAGAGCACAAAATATGTTTAACTCAACCATTGGGTTGAAGAAATAACTCAACATTTTTTAGAGTGTACAGAATCATGAGAAAATCGTGATCCTGGTTTTAAGTTAAAAAAAAAATCGTGATTCTCATTTTAGCCAGAATCGTGCAGCCCTATACTGAGGGAAGTATTGAAATAAAGGTTCTCACAGTGAAGGGTATTTACCATATACAGTGGTGTGGAAAAGTGTTTGTCCCCTTTTTATTATTTGCATATTTGTCACACTTTATTGTTTCAGATCATCAAACAAATTGAACACTATTACTATTAAGTTATTATTTGTTGTTGCTAAAACTTGGATAGGCAACAAGACTTTTGTCAGGAAGTGTATACACATTCCTTAATAAAAATCAAAACATTAAAAACTTTCAAAGATTTAAGATGCAGATAATCAGTAACCGCATCATCGGTAACCGTAACGAGTACCGGATCACAACGGTCTTGTGAAAAGGGTCCATAATTGCTGGTGGCAGTCAGTAATTTCAAGCCCTACATGTGTTTCCTCGCTTGGCTCCAGTTTGCTGTCGGCCCGATTTCAGTCGGAATAATGAGATGGAGCCGTGGGGTCGGGCTACGAGGAAGCGTCCGGAGTCTGGTTAGTCACAATACAACAGTAAGATTGTGAACATACCTGAGCAATGTTCAAGGTCTAGAGCATTGGAGGAGGACGGGCAGGGCGAGACGGGACAGAACACAAAAAATAAAGGAAGAAAAAAAAAGAAAACACAAATACAGTGACTAGGAGGCCGGCTCCAAGTAACCCTGTCAGTCAAGCCAAACCACACCCCCAGAGACAGGTACGAGAGGAAAGGTGGGGCGATACTCCCTACCAGACCGCGCACACACACACACACAGAAGTGTGGTGCAGCAGGCAGAAAGCACAGGTTTGGCAGGGAGTATGTGGAGTATCTGGCCGAGCGGAAAATAAAGCAATGTCAATCACTTCCTGTGGGAGTGTGGAGCTGCTCAAACTACTGTCCCAGACGGAGGAGGACACAGAGCGAGCGTTACCTGTTTGTTGAGGCCCAGCATGTTGCACACCATGTCTCTGGAGTACGGCTGCTCCAGCACATACCTCAGCAACCCTGTCTGCGGATCAAACAGGTCCTGCACACACACACACACACACACACACAAATACAGGTCAAAAATGTAGTGGCTCTGTTAAACCAAAGTATCTTTAAGTCAAACCCTCTAAAAGATTGTTAGTCTGCATTATTTAGGGCAACCGGAGCCAGGAACACCTCCCCAAAGACATTATAATTTGAACGGCATCTGCGCTTTCGTTAGTCTTTATGTATTATTCCCGAGATTTCCATAATCCTGGACCAGGCCGTATCCTGAACAGCTGCTGTGGTGGTCATGGAGGAGTGGAGAGCATGAGACTGATAAGACCCCAGTGACAGACGAGCACAGTCCAGCCTGAACACCAGCCGGTGACCTCTCCCACCTACAGCTTCTTCCCGATGGACGTCCAGCGCTCTCCAGCCTCCGGCGCCTAGACTCAGCTCTGCACAAGACGTTTGGCCATAGGAGAAAAGGTTGTGCACAACTGAGCCTGGTTTCTCTTGAGGTTTTTAAATTCTTCACTTATGCCAATTGGTAAAGTTTGTTCCTCGCTGCTGTCGCCACTGGCTTGAATAGTTTTTGCGCATTGATGGATTTGGTCTTCAGTGTTTGGACTTTAAACCACACTAAACTGATCTGAACTTTAACACTGAGAACTGAACTGACACAGTTTCAATTTACTATAAACTTTTATGTGAAGCTGCTTTGACACAATCTACACTGTAAAAATGCTATAGAAATAAAGATGAATTCAATTTAACTTGGCAGCCATCTTTAGAATGCCTTTAGGGCTTTTATTTTATTTATTTTTTTTTTAAATTGACCTTTAATTGACAGGACAGTAGAGAGTATTGACAGGAAAGAGTGGGAATCAGAGAAAGGGAAAGGTTCGGCATAGGACCTCGAGGTGAGAATCGAACTCGGGTCACCGTGAGCACCGCAATGCATGTGTCGACGCACTAACCACTACACCAGGGATTCCCAAACTTTTTTATTCCGGGACCCACCTAGGCAAGTAGTTCAATCTCAAGACCCACCATAATATTTTAGGCCCCGTTTACACTAGTGCGTTTTAGTTTGAAAACGCATAAGTTTTGCTACGGTTACGCCATCCGTCGGCTACGCCGGAGTTCTCGAGCGCCGAAAACGGAGCTTTTTGAAAACGCTGGAGAGGCCATTTTCATTCTGAAACGCTGCTGCTCCGTCTCAGTGTGGATGGGGAAAGACGGAGACTGATTGGGGCTTTTCCTCAATATTAAGTAGCCCACACACAGTTCAGTCTCGCATCCTCTTCTTGTAAGTTCAGACTTCGCAAGTTTGATCAAGGCTGCAGTCTCCCCCTTCTCAGTTTGATATGGAAAACATACCGAGGACACGGGTAAATCTTCAAAGGGAACAGTGTCCTTTATAACTTCATTCACATCACCTTGGCTACGTTGTTTCACTTTCTCAACAATAAAATGTAAACATGATTTAAGGAACTGCCCTTTTTTTTAATATTAGAAAACTTAACAGACGGCAGAAATGTTGAGTCGTGCTGCATATATGGGCGTCATCTTCACTGTGTGGATATTTATAACAAAACGGAGCCGATAACAACTGCCTCCTTTCAATTTCAGTGAAAATACGAAACATCCCCTCTCTTCTGCTGAATATCAGTTTTAATAATCGACAATTATAAAAGTATAACATACAATAAGTTTATACATTGTAGGAAATAAAGGCAAGCGATCAGTCAATGTACCTGGATTAATCATTAACTTATCTTTGCACTTAACCAAAACATGTTACCCGTGAACAAGTAACTTAATAGATTCCAATGACCAAAGTCAGGGAATTGGCCTATGTCGTTAGATAAAGACAACAACATGAATGAAATATCACGTTTAGCAAATATAGTGAGATTAGATCCAGCGGGAGATGCTTGATGAGCAGTCCGACAAGCAGAGCTCTCATCTGGGTAGAAATGCTGGAGTGCTTGCCGAGTGTGTGTGTGTGGTCACGTGATGTCCGTTTTCAGCGTTTTGGTGTGGACGGAGAGCTGTTCAGAAACGCTGGGTAAAACGCGAGTGTGGACGCGGATCGTTTTCATTCTACAACGCCGTTTTAAAACTAAAACGCACTAGTGTAAACGGGGCCTAAATATGGAAAAACGGGTAAAAAAAAAATGTCTCCATTCAAAGCAGTCAAAAATATATGGTGTGTGGCTTTTTGGATTTTGCGATTCGATATGCTCAAAATGAGGCTCTTTGTGAGATGCTGGCTGTAACTGTGATTTTTTTGTTGAAAAAGATACTCTTCTTTTTTTTAGAAGAGAATATGATCAACCTTTGATCAAGCCCCTGGATTATGATCAAGCCCCGTCACATCGCAGTAAATTCCACTGCTGGTGTATAGTCATAAGAAACTAAACCGCTTTTTGATCGACTACTACAAGCTGGGAAAACGTCAGATAAATATGCCAATGCAATTAACGTTATCGCTGAATAGATCTAATATTTACACATTTGCTTGAGAAAGGAATGATGGGGGTAGTTACATTACTATTACTATTTTCCATAACATCTATGCCCTTCCATAACATTAGCTGACGTTAAAACTAACAGATAGCACTAGAGCTATTTATTGATTAGCAATCTGTCAATACAGAAATGTACAGAAAATTTCTGTTACATACAGAAATTAAATAAAGCTATAAAATCTCTTTCACTTTTAATTGTGTTTGTATATTGATTAAAGTTACTGTAGTTATTTAGTGAAGAGCAGCAAATGAATCTCTCATTGTGTTTTGTTTGATAACAGATGAGTTAATGTTAGAATGCACAGATCTATAATGAAGCATTCGACTACTTTAGTAACTGTTTGTGCTCATTTAAGAGAAAATTAGTTGTGTTTAAAATAAAACACGCAGGACGGAGCCAAAAATAAAATGAAAAACAAAAAAAAAAACGGAAAAAATTAGCACTTTTCCGACGATCCCTTACTGAGAGCTCCCTCTGCACGAGCTCTACCGGCTAAAGGCAGATTGCGAGGGCTCAAACGGAGCAGTGCTTGTAATGTCGAGCAAAAAAAAAAGAAAAAGACAGCTGTGAAACATAACCAGCTTTGTCTTTTTGTAGGAAACACACTTTAGATCTTTTTGGGGTAAGAGGTTTTTGAGTTATTGCTGTCAATCGTACTGGTTTTGATTCACTGCAATGTAAATACAGCTGCAGCTATGTGACGTTGCGCAACCCACCTTTGTTCACTGTGTGACCCACTAGTGGGTCGCGAGCCACAGTTTGAAAACCCCTGCACTACACCATTGGTGCAGACAGGGTCACGAAACACCAGAACGCATTTTTTAAGATGTTGACAGTCATATAATGGCCCGTTTACACTGAGTGGTACGGTACGGTTCAGTTTGGTACGCTTTTATGGCCGCTTCCACTGTTAAAAGGCATACCGAACCGTTCCGTATCACTTTTTCGGCACCCTTTCGAAAGGGTTTCAAACACGAGAAAGGGTATTGAAAGGCGGAGCTAGACACGCAGTTAAACACTATTGGTTTACAAAAGATACATCATTCGCTTATGCATCAGGCCAGAATGAAAACAAAAGAGCCGCCATGTTTAAAATAACGCCTTCCGGTTTGAAATACATTTTAAAGTTGTGCCACAGCCATGAGATCTTTAAATCACTACATGAAGGAGTATTTAAAGTTGTTTCCACATTATATTGATTGAAATGTGATCTCGCTCTGGGCAGTCTCTTGTGCGTCTAATGTACCACTGCTTGACATCGCAGCCCACCATTATCAATGTATGGTTTTAGAGGATATGTGACCTGTGCACTTTAATATGTAAGATTCATGAGGCGCAAAGCAGTACCTTATCATACGGCAGCATTCCTCTCAGAGGGAAACGCAGAGTGGTGGGGTCCAGCTTCCATGAGTTACAGATGGCCCCAGAATTATTGACCACAGGCAGAAGACTGCAGCGCCCTGACACACACACATACAGATCAAACACAGCACATACGGCCATAAGAGCTTACAATATACCACAGTAGCCATGATTGTATACAGTTTATAAACTTAACCAACACAGGCTCATTGTAAATACATGCTTCATTCTACTTTGTGAGCCTACTTTAATATACGTTTGACTGCAGTTTATACAAAAAAAATGAACACTAGGGGGCAGTGTGATACTCACAAGTAGAGATCTGCACGGTACTAAATTTTGAATCCCGCTCCCGCCCACCCCCGCCAGGTTTTAGCCCGAACCCGACCGCTCCTGCTTATATTCAGCATTTGTTGTCCCGCTGCCCAACCCGCCCCGCCCGTTCCTGCTAACGGACGAGGGAGAACAAAACTGAAAACCACCCAGCTATACAGTGTCCAGACAGCCTATAACAAGCTGTCTGTATAAACACACACACACGCACAAGCAAGTGACACACAGAGACAGTGTCTCGCTCTCTCTTTCATTCACAAACACACACACGCACACACACAGAGAGAGAGAGAGAAAGAAAGAGAGAGAGACAGCACACGGCTCTCTCTCTCTCTCATTCGCACACACATAGACAGCAACAAACAAGCTAAACGCAGCATCATGCTGTCTCATTCGCACACACATACTCATGCTCGTTCGTAAGTCGGAAGAGATATTGTTAGACCGCCCGCTTCCATCCAAAATAAACCCGTTACCGACCGCTCCCGTGCTTTATTCAGAAATTTATTCCCGCACCGCATAAATGTGGTCGGCTCCCGCGGTACAGCCGTGGGAATGCAGACCTCTACTCACAACTTTTGTTCCTTTTCACACTTATGATATTTATTGGGACATATTACTGCCGAATAAAGGATTATTTTTGTGCAGTTCTTTGCAGAACACCAAATAATTACCACAACACAAAGTAATATCTGTTAATTGTAATGAATGGGTCTGCATCACATCGCTTTATGACATGGAGCATTATCCTGCTGGAAGTAGCCATTAGAAGATGAAGACACTGTGGTCATAAAGGGATGGTCACAGCAAGAAGGTCGCTGGTTCGTGCCCGGCTGAACCAGCTGGCATTTCTGTGTGGAGTTTGCATGTTCTCCCCGCGTTGGTGTGGGTTTCCTCCGGGTGCTCCAGTTTCCCCCACAGTCCAAACACATGCGCTGTAGGGGAATTGGATAAACTAAATTGGTTGTAGTGGATGAGTGTGTGTGTGAATGAGTGTGTATGGGTGTTTCCCAATACTGGGTTGCGGCTGGAACGGCATATGCTGTGTAAAACATGCTGGAATAGTTGGTGGTTTATTCCACCGTGGCGACCTCTGAAATAAAGCCTAGCCGAAGTAAAATAAATGAATGAATAAAAAAAAAATGCATCTCACCACATATGGAGTTTATACGTGCCGTCGGTCTGAAACTGTCGACAAAGTCAGATATCAGGCTGCCCAACAGCTGCAAAGAAACACAAACCTTGTTTAATTTTGTGAAGAGCAGCTGAAAGGGGAATCTCCACGAGTGTGAACATGCGTATGTTTGTTACCCAGTGTGAGAGCGCCCCCTCTGGACAAAGTTTCCGGATCTCAGTCACAGCGAAGTACGCCGGCAGCAGACAGGCGTTGCGGTCCAGTATATACTCCACAACCTTCACCAAAGAGCAATTATTCACTTACTGAAAACTCAATCACTCATCTTATGCGATTTTGGAATTACTGCATTAATTTAAATCAATTCAATTCAATTCAGCTTTATTTGTATAGCGCTTTTACAATGTGGATTGTGTCAAAGCAGCTTCACATAAATGGTCATAGTAACTGGAACAGTGTGGTTCAGGTTGTAGTGTTTAAGTTCAGTTCAGTTTAGTTCAGTTCAGTGTGATTTAATCATTACTGAGAGTTCAAACACTGAAGAGCCAATTCATCGATGCGTAGCTCTACCAATCCTGAACCATGCGAGGCAGTGGCGACAGATGCCCTTTCATAAAAACCTGGGTATACCAAGGCGTAGTAGAATAATAAAAAATCAGTATATGGAAACGGACACACTGTGAGCCTCAGACACCACTGTGTCCTGATTCTCATGTAAATTCCACGAGTGTAAAACCCCAATGGACAACGGGCCAATCAGAAGACAAAACAAACTGTGACGAGTCTCAAAGGCCACACCACAACAGATCTGGTGAATACATCATGCTGTGTGTGTGTGTGTGTGTGTGTGTGTGTGTGTGTGTGTGTAAGAGCTGCACGTCAAAGCAAATCTTATTAATATTCAATACACAAACCATATAGGGTCAATCATGGACCTACTGATTCAGTATTTTATAGACAGCACTAATATACGGTGTATGTATATACATATACATATATATACATACATATACATATATATATATACATATATATATATATATATATATATATATATATATATATATATATATATATATATATATATATTAGGGGTGTGAAAATTAGCATGTTAATGCACGTGATTATTTGAAATATTTAACGCATTAAAAAAAATAACGCAAATAACGCAGTTGCATTTTTATTTTATTTCTTGTTGTGGCCGACATGTGTTTAGGGCAGGCGCATCCATAAAGGCGACAGGCGGCTGCCATGGGCAGCAGAATAGTGAGCGAACCCCCCGGTCCCTTACATTCATCCAATAATGACACCCACCCCCTTCCCTCAAGGTCCTCGGCCTCATTTGCCTAGAGCGAGAGTTCAGTTTGCTCTGGTCCTGCGTGTGTTTAATGTGCAAGGAAATTTAGATAAGACCAAGGACGTGCTTTTAGAAGGAATGTTTCAGTATAAAACAATTAATGTGGCATCAGCAGGCTATCCTGCTTTCAGAGTTTCATGCAATTTCGGGTGTTTCATTTTTTAATATTTAGACCAGGGGTCACCAACATGGTGCCCGCGGGTAGTCCGCGAGGATTACATGAGTTGCCCGTGGGCCTGTTATAAAATTAGCTTACCATGGCACCACATACCAGTAAGCTGCATCGAATATTCTTTGTAGCTATTCTTTTTAAATCACACTTGCATTGGTTGATATTTATCTGTTTCCAATCATTGTTGACAACTATGTGAGAAATCATTAACATCATCAGTGTCTTCACATAGATGAATATCATTAATTAATAATAACATATAATTAAAAGTAAATTGAGCAAATAAGTTATTAGAAAGTGTGTAAACTGGTAGCCCTTCACATTAAACGATACCCAAGAAGTAGCTCTCAGTTTCCAAAAGGTTGGTGACCCCTGATTTAGACTTAACAGCAGTTCAGCAGTTCACTCTCATTCAGCATAATTTAATTCAGGATGATTTAATGGAATTTGATACCGCACGGCAAACAGAAAGAAAAAACATTTCGGGACTCACGTGATCCTTTAAAGCAGGGGTCACCAAACTTGTTCCTGGAGGGCCGGTGTCCTGCAGATTTTAGCTCCAACCCTAATCAAACACACCTGAACAAGCTAATCAAGGTCTTACTAGGTATACTTGCAACATCAAGGCAGGTGTGTTGAGGCAAGTTGGAGCTAAACCCTGCAGGGACACCGGCCCTTCAGGACTGAGATTGGTGACCCCTGCTTTAAAGTAATCAAAACTCGCTGTTTACATGGTCGACTCTTAATCAGAGTATTATCTTAATCAAAGCGGAGTATTGCTGTCCATGTGAATGAAAGTGCCAGATGATTTCGCAAGCTGTCAAAGACAGCCAATTTCTCCTCCTTAAGCTGCGTCCATGAGCCCTCAAATGTTTCATTAACTTTGACATGTTTCCCCCCTTTTGTAAAGCGTCGGCTTCGCGTTGGTGTGTCAGAATCTTTGCTTGTTAAATACAGCCATACTGTAGAATGCTTAGTTTAAGCAAATTTGATGAACGCGATCATGCTTGTTGATGAATCTGAAGGGATCCCTCTCGCTCACCGGCACTGTGTGCGTTGTCTGTGTGTGTGTGTGCATGCATGCGTGCGTGTGTGTTTATAGTCCACTAAGAATCCAACATGGAAAGCATTTTTGTTTGTTATTGGCATGGATTGTTTTGAAATTCAAATGGCACTTACATGTCTGTGTTTTTATTTCTGTAATAAATACAGCATTTCGTGACTAATCACGATTAATCACAAAAAAAGTGCGATTAATCACGTTAATTTTTTTAATCATTTGACAGCCCTAATATATATATATATATATATATATATATATATATATATATATATATATATATATATATATATATACATACAAAAAATCCAGCATTCACATCAGTAAAGTCATATGATTTACTTTTCACAGATGATTAGATAAAAATGTGTGAGTTGGGACGCACTAATGGACAAATCAGTGTTTCCAGCACACAGTAGAACATCTGAAATGTTGTTTTGCTGATTTCTAAAACTCCTCAGCATCAGTCCGTCATCACGGTGCTTCAGTATTATTATTACTCTATTATTATTCCCTCCAGAACGGTCTTGAGCATCTGTTTGCGCTCCCAAAGAGCATCTCACACCTCCAAAAGCACAATCAATTGTGTTTCGTCTTCATCTTCTGAGGCGCAACTCATTTATTAGAGAAGAAAAAACACCCCAGTGGCTTCTCCAATCGCATGAAACTATATTTTTCTGACTCATGTTTTCTCTAGTTTATCAGTAAGCGACCATTTTGTTTTACTTGACTAATTGGATGGAAACGCTGCTTTACGTTTCATACAATATTCCAGTATTGCACAGAAGACTAATTCAAACAGCTAATGAGGCTCTGTGATCTGTGAACTCAAACACACCTCTCGTGCCGCGAGCAGCTGCTGAACCACAGCTGAGCTCACAAAGTTGGGGATGGTCTGAATCTTGTCCAACACGGCCTTCAATAGATCTCTCACACCCTGAAAAACAAAGAGAGAGAGTGTGAGACTGCACTAACAACATGAAACCTGCTGTAAAGGGACAGTTCACCCAATATTAAAATCTTATTATCTTATCAGTTGTTCATCCTTGTTGCAATACATTGGAAGATATACTGAAGAATCCTGGAAAAAACAGCCATTGACTTCAATAGTATGGAAGAGAATGAGGTTTCCAGCATTCTTCAAAACATCTTCTTTGGTGTTCAACAGAAGATAGAAACTGGTTTGAGGGAGAGTAAACAGTGGGTGGCAGCACGGTGGAGCAGTGGGTAGCACAATCACCTCACAGCAAGGTCGCTGGTTTGACCCCCGGCTGGGTCCGTGTGGAGTTTGCATGTTCTCCCGATGTTTGCGTGAGAAATGCCAACTGACCCAGGTGGGACTCGAACCAGAAACCTTCTTAATTTCATTAAAGGGCCATGAAACCCCCTCGTTTCAGAAGGGTGTTTTCACACCTCTACTTTGGAAAAGGTCAGAAAAGTGGGCGTGTCCAGCTCTGTTTAGGAGGGAGTGTCGGAGAAAGAAAAGAGGCATAATGTGGGAGTGTCTATTTGGGCGCGCTGACTTTCCAAGTCAAAACACACCCACACAGGAGAGAAAGTGACTGTGTTTACATGGACATCTGTAGTCGAATTATTTGCCAGATTATTAAATAATGGACTTTAACTGCAGTTTGGCTCTTTCATTCAGGGAATTCATTCATGTCCCTCGCGACAAACAAGATATTTGATTCGAGGATCTGCTCTAAGCGTGTATTTTTCATGCAATGGTTGATACCGCACGGCGAATGAGAGAAAAAAAAACTCAGCATTTCCCGGAAACTTAGATGCACTCGGCAGGTAGCGTCAGAAAGCCGCGTGTGTTATTCCGGTCACGAAATGCGGCGAAAATCCTACACGAGGTTAAAGTTTGGTTGTGGTGCTAACATGTTTGTACTCGGTGCAATAGTCAGTTCGATACGAACAAACTGAATAAACAAAGAGCACTGCTCGCTCACTTCCCAAATCTGTAGAGACAGGACAATCTCCAGCAACTAGAGTCGCGTCTTTATTAAGAGGAGACTAAAGCGAATCCGGATATCAGCGATTGCAGATGAGAACAGCTCTCAGGTAAACAATAATCCTCCTTAGACATGTAAGTTATTGTTGTCGAGCGTCGCGTACACTGTTAATCCACACGTGACTCCAGCTGAGCTCTCACAGAGAGAAAATGAAAACAAAACTTAACTGCAGCAAACTATAAAAGCAACACTTCACGCTTGTTTTGCCAACACAACGTGGCGTCTCTGTCGTCTAAACACTGTGACAGTAATGAATATTAATGAAGTTGCACAATAGAGCGTGCTGATTGGTTTGACCAAGCTTTACTCATGCATTAATGCAGCACACTGTAAGACGTAATAAGACACACTCTGGCACAGACGTCCAGTCTGCACGCTGGAATACACGCTATTATGTCATGACCGTGACGCAGCTTCAAAAATTCGTTTTAAACCGGATGTACAAATTCGCTTGAAATAACGCAAAAACAACCAATTTACACTTTTTAGTAAAATATATGTGTCCTAATAGTGTTTTTAGCAGTGTGGGACACATATACGACTGTCAACAGCTCAAAAATGTGTTTTGTGACCCTTTAATTAAATTAAAAACAATCCCTCCTCCATACTCTAGCATTAAATTCTCTGCCTATAAACAAGTTGCTTTGTATAATCAGCTCTTCTTGTGTGCATTGCCTCTTCGTGTTAAATCTCTGAATGCCTCCTCTGTTGTAAGTCCCTTCAGACAAAAGCATCTGCTGAATGACTAAATGTAAATGTAACTCGAGAGAGAGTTTGGATGTTCACCTTATAGTCGACTCCTCCGATGATTTTGCGGATGAGTTTGAAGGTCAAAGCCCAGAGTTGAGTCCGTTCCCACTCCAGACTGTCGGAGCTGATGAGAGCCTGACACACCATCCTGACAAACACAACACACAGATCATATAACTACTACTCGCTTCACCCCATCAACAAAAACTAAGGAGAGTTAGCGAACATTTCATCACTATTTTTTTTGTTATTTGTATATATATATATATATATATATATATATGTTCAATTAATAAATACACTTACCGGCCACTTTATTAGATACACCTGTCCAACTGCTTGTTAACACAAATTTCTAATCAGCCAATCACATGGCAGCAACTCAAAGCATTTAAGCATGCAGACATGGTCAAGACGATCTGCTGCAGTTCAAACTGAGCATCAGAATGGGGAAGAAAGGGGATTTAAGTGACTTTGAATGTGGCATAGTAGTTGCTGCCAGATGGGCTGGTCTGAGTATTTCAGAAACTGCTGATCTACTGGGATTTTCACACACAACCATCTCTAGGGTTTACAGAGAATGGTCCGTCAAAGAGGAAATATCCAGTGAGCGGCAGTTCTGTGGGCGCAAATGCCTTGCTGATGCCAGCGGTCAGAGGAGAATGGCCAGACTGGTTCCAGCTGATAGAATGGCAACGGTGACTACGTTTACATGGGCACCAATAATTCGATTTTAATGCGATTAAGACAATACCCTGATTAAGAGTCGACCATGTAAACAGCTATTTTTGATTAATTTAATTCGATTAAGGTCATAATCGAACTAAAGACAAATAAAATTAAGACATGTGGAGTATCCCGATTTTAGTCGCATTATTAAAGTGCATTACAGACATGTAAACACCTTAATCGAATTATTACCGTCATGTAGGGCGCACTCACACGCACACACACACACACACACATGGCTGTTTGACACTCTTTGCACCTACCGAGTCAGTGCAGACCACAGACACCTGCCTCGTGGAATGCGGAGCTTTTTTTTTCTTCCATTCAGCATGCGGTATGAACTTCCATTAAAACAACAGTCTTCCAGCAGCTCATAGTTGCATCCGTTTTATCACGGAGGGAAAGTGAAAGTGCCAAACCGCAGTTAAAGTTGACAAATTAATAATGAAACACCCGAAATTACATGAAACTCTGGAGGAAATGCGGATAGTGCGGTGACGCAATGACGTCAATCTAAGTATGTGCTATAACATGTAAAACGCGATCATGAAAGAAACATTCAAAAAGCAACTCACGTAAACGCCTTAATCGTATTATTGTCTTAATTAGATTAAAGCAAATAATTCGATTACTGATGTCCATGTAAACATAGTCAGTAACTCAAATAAGCACTCGTTACAACCGAGGTCTGCAGAAGAGCATCTCTGAACACACAACACGTCCAACCTTGAAGCAGATGAGCTACAGCAGCAGAAGACCACAGCGGGTGCCGCTTCGCTCAGCTATTAACAGGAAACTAAGGCTACAATTCACACAGGAAAATTCCCAATAAGTTTGATGTGTCACATGACCCTCTTCCTATTGAAAAAACAAAATTTGGATCCAAGATGGTCGACTTCAAAATGGCCACCATGGTCACCACCCATCTTGAAAAGTTTTCCCCTTCACATATACTAATGTGCCACAAACAGGACGCTAATATCACCAACCATTCCCATTTTATTAAGGTGTATCCGTATAAATGGCCCACCCTACCCTGTAGATTTTTTTTATTACTATACAGGGCTCGAAATTAACTTTTTTACTTGGTAGCACTGGTGCTCCCAACTTCAAATATTTAGGAGCACCAGAAAAAATTTAGGAGCACCCACCAAAAATGATTAAGCACCGCTGCAAATTGTATTTTAAGGGATTTATTGTATTTTAAAACAACATCCATTAGGACTAACAAAAAACAGAAACAACTATAACTATTGCTGAGATGACATTGATATTTGTGTGTAATAATTCCAAAATGAATGGTGAATAAATATAAAATATTAATGATGATGAAAATGACAATAATAGTAACAATGAATTACATTTGTCATCATCATGCTGCCTTGAATGTGCTTGAATGCAAGTTTTCTGCTATAAAAAGTCTGTTACTTTATGAAAAACAAATGTATAGTTTGCATCAAACAAAAATTAAGCACTGCAGTAAGAAATATTTATTTTGTACTGCTGTTTATATATGCATGTCAGTTTAATAAATAATATTTCTGCTACCAAAAAAAAAAAGATTATAATAAATAATTAAATTCAAGGCTGAAAGCTGCAAAACAGTCATCAGTAACTAAATAAAATATATATATATATATATACACCTCAAGAACGAATAGACAAAAGAAAGTAAGTAAAGTCTCACTTCTATCACTCTTAAGTTTTAGTTTCAGTTTGTGTAAATTTAAAGGTTCAGTCTGAGCTGATTTTTTTTTTTCTGTGTTAGTGGAAAAGCAGGCGAGTCAGCCGACCCAATTTATGAGCAGGTTGAGCAGGATTCTTGCGGTGACCACCGGCGGATTACCGCTGTTTGTTATGAGCCACAGTTTTAGTGTAAACTTAGTAAAGGCGAGCTTCTTTGGTGATGATATGTACAGTATTAGATTTGACTTTTAGCGGACATTTGCACTGAACACGCAGTGAATGCAACGCATCGAGATTCGATCGCTTTCTCCGAAAAGCACGTACTCGATTGATCTCAGCTGGCGGATCAATATTTACCACGTCATGATCTCTCATCTGCGCCTCAACTTTAGGTGGGGTTTGCAAACCTGCGTGCTTTAAGTCTTCACTCTTAAGCCGTTTGCATTTCCCGTGGTTATAAAAGTTCCTTCCCTGTCATCTGACAGCGGAATACCTTGCGTGATTGACAGCTAATATGAACCAATATAGCGGCAGCAGGGAAGAGCGATTCAGCACGTTTTTAGAAAAAATCAAAATAGGTCGCACTACAACCATTATCAGCAGTCGCACTAATGCTCCCATATACATTATGAGGTCGCATAGATTAATTTTCGGGCGCATATGTGACCAAAATGGTCGCAATTTCGAGCCCTGCTATATAAAATCAGCCCAATCAATTTAAACCTATGAATTTTTCCAAATAGAGCTAGTCAAGTCATCTGGTAAAATTGTATTCATATCACAATATATGTCGCAGAGAAACTAAATATTACAACGTCAGATTTTTCCAATTTCGTGCAGTCCTAGTCATAAGTGTAATTTTTTTTAACACTGAGATTTATACAGGGTGAACAACTCATCTTTCAGCTGATGTACGCTTTGTTAGGATAGGAGTTAGTTGAGGTTAAAGTCTGAATCATTTTAGTTTAACTGTTAAGAAATGGAAAAGACCATGCTGTTTGTCCTGGGTTGAGTTGCATTTCTACTAGTGTTCTTAGCAATATGGTGTGTGTGTGTGTGTGTGTGTGTGTGTGTGTGTGTGTGTGTGTGTGTGTGTGTGTGTGTGTACCTGGGTGGCAGCAGGCTGGTCTCCACCGCCATGGCCAGACAGTCGTAGAGGAAGGCGATGCGTTTGGGGCTGTGCTGACCATGAATGAAGCGCACGATCCACTGCACACACTGCTCATGAGACTCCTGCAAGGACACCAACACACACACCGCACATTTACAGCTCACACAACATCTCTTCTCCCTGACTATCAAAAACTACAATGTTTTAATTCCTGTATACACAGGTGAAGTCAGAATTACTAGCCTTTAAATGTCACTTTAAGCTGTATAGAAGTGTCTTGAAAAATATCTAGTCAAATAATATTTACTGTCATCATGGCAAAGAGAAAACTAAATCAGCTATTAAAGATGAGTTATTAAAACTATTATGTGCAGAAATGTGCTGAAATAAATCTTCTCTGCATTAAACAAAAATTGGGAATAAAAATAAACAGGGGGTCTAATAATTCAGGGGAGGACAAATATTCAGGGGGGCTAATAATTCTGACTTTAACTGTGTGCGTTTATTTATTCTCATATTGAGAATACCGCGCTAAAACTTCACATAATTAAATCACAATATCAGTCAGAAAAGTCACAATTAGATAATTATGTGAAATCTTGCAACACTTATACTTCTTTTATAAAGCAGCTTTATGCAATATTGTGATACACAAAGCAAACATGGACCCTTGTGAAGCTGTTTTCCAAAGGGAGATTTAACAAACAACACCTTGAAAAATATGTACATGAAATAATGCAAACATAAGTAAACAAATGCTAAATGCAGGATCAAAAAATTGCAACCTTAGTTTTTTTTAGCTCATTTTATCAAAACTCTTTTGTTTTTACCAATAATGTTGGTCACTATAAACACTTTGGGCTCTATCCTAATGATCTAGGCACAAAGTCTAAAGCGCAGGGCACAAAAGCATTAAGGGCGTGTCCGAATGTCTGTCTATCTATTTATCCGTGGGTGTGCGTGTGTGTTTGTGCAACAGAATGTGTGTGTGTGTGTGTGTGTGTGTGCGCGTTCATATGGGTATGCGTGTGTGTGTGTGAGTGCAAGTGTGTGCATATGAGCAACTGTGAGCAAGTCTGTGTGTGTGTGCACGCGAGATTAAAAGTGTGCATATGAACAAGTGTATGAGAGATTCTGAGTGTGTGAGTGGGTGCATGTGTGAGTGTGTGTGTGTGTGTGTGTGTGTTGATTCTGACCTGCGGCAGGGTACTCCAGAACTGCCTAAAGGCTCCTAAACAGCTTGTGAGTTTGGTCTTCTCATCCTCAGGGCTGTCCATGAACATGCTGCGCACACACACACACATATGCATAATTTAGGTATCCATTATCACTTATAAGTGTGCATTTTAGGGCTGCACAATATCTCGCAAAAGTATCGTTCTCCTGATGATTATATATTTAATATACAAATCATAGACGTGTCATAAATTACATTTATATGATGCATTGGTTGTTTATGTAAATTTGACCAATCAGATGGGGCCTTACTATCTTTAGTCCCGCCTCCCCAGTAGTTGTTGTTCTGCTATTGGCTAAAAGCTGAACCCAGAGCTAAAACTGAATACTAGTGGGTGGAGTAGAGTCAAGAGAGGAAAGTAACAACAGCCTGTCAGGTGATCTTCGCAGGTTTCCACTTCTTCATTGGGCTCTTTTTTAATGATCTAGGTGCAAAGTCTAAAGCTCATGGCACAAAAGCATTAAGGGCATGTCTGAATCCACTTACGCACTGCGCCGCGGCGCACAGTCTAACAAGGTTAAGCTTATTCTCTTAATGAGTTCTGAGTGTGTTTTGAGCATAACGTGTAATAAACCTATCAGAGTCTCTTCTCTCATTCCCTTTAAGAGTCAGTTGCGTCGTGTTATGGTGGATTTGCTATTTACATGGCGGACTTTGTAAGAGGAAAAACTGAACACTACACTAGCGAGAAAACAGTTAAACAGAGCATCTGCAGCGAGAGGATAAAGAACGAGCCTCCTCCATTCGGCCTCTTTACTTTCTCTTTACTTTTACTCCTTTACTTTGGTGGAGGAATCTCACTCCACTGAACACATCCATTAGCCCACTACATCCATTAGCCCACTACATTTAGTCTGTTTAGCACAAAGATGTGTTTCAAAACTATTTCTAAATTCAGTTCTAATCTCCAGCAAAGGAATAAATGAACAATAATAACCAAGTGTGGTCAGAAAACCAGTTATATCAAGCACACGTACTGTTCTTATGCCCCATATGGTGATGCAGACGTCTCCAAAACCACACAGATTGACACGTCTACACTAGTTTTTATTACACAAATATAAATATGCAGATAATAAATAATAATTAATATTTAACATTCCAGTATCGTGCAGCCCTTGTGCGTTTTCGCTCTATAATATGGTGTTTTATTAGTCTACTCACCCAGCAAACGCCTCCTCGATCACCTCCGTTTTCTGACGTAAACAAAACAGTTGAAAGTTAAAATGTGTACATTAGTCTGACATCAGTTAGCCGTTATACATGAGACTGTGCTGTGTACAGCTTAGCTAGTGAGGTAAAGTTATTTTATATTCACACATTCGCTCAGTGAGAACTTCTGACATGCTCCCTGTGTTGTTTACCATGGTGATTTGAATATTCGGTCTGAAATAGCTTGCAAGTATGACCTGAAAACAACATTAGCACTATTTAATTGACTGTGAACAGCGTTGTGCTTTGATAGTCATTGGCTGCCAATATGATTTCGCTATTTAAAGTTTGCAAATTATACTTTTCGGAAATAATATATATATTTTTTAAAAGTCCAAATGTGCGAATATAAAATCAACTTTACCCTAATGGTGCGGTTATCACTTTGAGATTGAGAAATTTAGGTAAATTTGGTTTTATATTCGGACATTCAGACTTTCTCCTTAATAATATAATTTTAGAAAAGTATTATTTGTAAACTCTAAATAGTGAAATCATATTAGCAGCCAATAACTATCAAAGTACAACACTGTTCACAGTCAATTAAATAGTGCTAATGTTGTTTTAAGTCATTTAAATCTGATTTCAGACCCTATATTCAAATTAACACAGTAGATAATATATAGGGAATGTTAAATGAAGGAATGTGCGAATATAAAACCAACTTTACCTCAATGATTGAGATGTGACTGCTGCTGTTGTTGTTACTGTGATGAATGGATGAGAAGTGTGTGTGCTGCATCACCCACCACTACATCCTCAAAGATGCTCTGCAGCTGAGTCTCCATCGGGACCGCCATCACGAGCACACACCTTCACGCACACTCATACGTCCATGTCTGAAATGAAAGTGTGCGCTGTAGTTTTTAATTAACGCTGAATGAGGCTCTGATGAACACAACAGAAGAGCAGCGCCAGAACTGAAACACCAGAAGCTTGAGCGTCGCTGAAAACATTCCGGCAGGAACACACACTCACAACACCATGGTTCCGACATTGTCGAACAATCTGTTTAAAAGATTTTCTTGTCTTGCTCTCTGGCATGTGGTATATTGTAATTTAGTTACATGTGTTTATAATAATAATAATAATAATAATAATAATGTTTTCAGCCATCAGCCTTCCTGAATTTTTTGCCCCCTCCCCCCACTTTGAGGACTTTGCAAAGACACAGGACACATCTAAAAAAACTCCAGACAATATATTAACATGAGAGACATGCAAACTTTTCCATGATAGATATACATTTTCAATGACACATCTTATATTTAAACTTTGCGTCTCATATAATTGAACTACATGTATTGTATTTCAATACATCAATACATTATCGAAGACTAGTTTAGGGCTGAAATTGAATGTTTATTTAACAATATTAAGACCGTTTACACCAAGCAAGCACCATTTGTGTAGTTTTAGTTTTACTTTTTGCACTACGCCCATGTAACCAGCAGATGTCCTCAGTGTGCTGCGGTTAGTCTGTCTATCTAACCAATCAGTCAATCCGTTAAGTTAAAAGCAGAAGTTTACATACGCTGTATAAAAAGGCCCACAACCATTTCAGATGTTAATGTGACTAAAGTTTTTGTAGAATAGTATTTAAGGAAAAGCTCAAACACACTGCTTCCTTGAGTGACAACATGGGAAAATCAACAAGCCAGAATCAACAAGAAAGCCAGATTACAATTTGCTAAATTACACTGGGAAAAAGACTCATGTTTGGAGACATGTCCTGTGCTCTGATGGAGCTGAGATTGAACTGTTTGGCCATAATGACCAGTGTTACATTTGGAGGATAAAGGGGAAAGCTTACAAGCCTAGGAACACCATCCCAACTGTGAAGTATGGGGCGGCAGCATCATGTTGTGGGGCTGTTTTGCTGCAGGAGGGACTGGTCCACTTTACGGCATAGATGGCATCATGAAGAAAGAACATTATGTGGAAATACTGAAGCAACATCTCAGGGCATCAGCCAGGAAATTAAAACTTGGCCACAAATGGCTCTTCCAAACAGACCATGACCCTCAGCATCCTGCTAAATGAGTTCAAATGTGCTTTAAGGACAACAGAATGGATGTTTTGGAGTGGCCATCACAAAGCCCTGACCTCAATCCTATAGAAAATTTGTGGACAGAGTTAAAGCTTGTCTGCATCCGCTGCATAACACATATGCTGGAATAGTTGGCGGTTCATTCGGCTGTGGTGACCCCTGATAAATTAGAGACTAAGCTGAAGGAAAATGAACGAATGAACTGTACTTTTACTTAGATGTCTGTATTTCCCTCATTAAATCATATCTGAAATCGTTAAACTTTGTCACTGTCCTGCAAACCATTATTTATACATCTGACAGTGAGAATGAAAGACAATCGCATGTAGTAGGCTGTAACTCAAAATATGTAGGCTGCAAAACAACATAGGGAAAATGCTTTGAAAACTGTTCCGCCAACATTACTCTGTATAAGAAACTCAAACAGGTTTGGAACAAGCAGAGGATCTGTAAGCAATGGCTGAGTTTTCATTTTGGGTTGAACTCATTCATTCATTAATTTTTTTGTCGGCTTAGTTCCTTTATTAATCCGGGGTCGCCACAGCGGAATGAACCGCCAACTTATCCAGCAAGTTTTTACGCAGAGGATGCCCTTCCAGCCACAACATCTCTGGGAATTGGGTTGAACTGTATTACTCAAATGTAATATGCCACAATAACAGATTTGTAAAATCACTTCCCTTACATCGTGTAAGACAAAAGAACAGATCTTTTGTACTTCAGGCTAATTTTTTCACTTTCAGATCCATGAAAGAGGAACTAAAGCGCTGTTATGGGGACCTAACACAATGATGAGAACTAACGCTAACCCACAAAACCGACACGGTCAATTGACCTGAATCAGAAGGCCATTAGCACAGTTTTAGTCAAAGTAAACAAAGCGTACTGAAAATAGTCTTCCACACAGAAACAGATGGATGAGGCGTACAAATTGCCATTCAGGCAATGAAGTCACACCTGTAAAACCAGTCTGCTGACATACCGTAATGCTATACTGCTAACTGCTAACTAACTTAAGGAGAAACAATAACAATGAAGACGTTTATTAATCAGAATGTAAGACTTAAAAATATATATTGGCAATCCCAGCTAGGAAAATTCATGTGGCTCAAATCCGGCCCACATACCACATGGAATGATGGCACTTGAGTGGTCCGCTCCTGTTTGCCTGATCTGGGCCACAAATAAGCCATAGCAATACCACATCCCTGCTGAAAAATCCAGCTTAAACCAGCCTAGGCTGGTTGGCTGGTTTTAGCTGGTTGACCGGCCTGGTTTTAGAGGGGTTTTGGCCATTTCCAGGCTGGTTTCCAGCCATTTCCAGCCTGGTCTTAGCTGGTCAGGCTGGGAGATGACCAGCTAAAACCAGCTTGACCAGCCTAGCCAAGCTGGGAGTCCAGCCAAAACCAGCTATATCCAGCTTAAACCAGGCTGGTCAAGCTGGTTTTAGCTGGATTTGGCTGGTAATTTTCCAGCCTGACCAGCTAAGACCAGGCTGGAAATGGCTGGAAACCAGCCTGGAAATGGCCAAAACCCCTCTAAAACCAGGCTGGTCAACCAGCTAAAACCAGCCAACCAGCCTAGGCTGGTTTAAGCTGGATTTTTCAGCAGGGATATTAGCCGGATTTCAACCAAATGAACCAGAACTGACCCTATACTGGGCCACAGTTTGCTTTTATCCTGGCCCAGACTCGTCCCCACAACAGACACTTACATCTGGACCACATACTGAATGCAATGATGGCTCTAGGACGATCTGCTCCTGTTTGACAGATCTGGGCCACAAATATGACAAAGCAATACCACATATCAGCCAGAATTCAACCAATTAAACCAGAACTGATCTTATTGTGGGCCACAGTTTGCTGATTTCTGGCCCAGATCTGGCCTAGTACTTCTAATAATGGATTAAACATTGATCACAGGTTGTGCTCTGCCTCATTTTGTTTGCTGTAATGAACAAACTTTTCAAGTTCTTAGTTACAGCAGCCCAAAAGAAAATTTATATTAAGAGGTTCAGGGCTATGAGCCCAACTAAAGCAAACACTTTTCTCCATGATGGTGACTTTAGTCTATGTGGTCCACATATGTTTTAAAATAACTGGGCCACATTTGCCATATCTTCTTTGGGCCACTATTGGCTCAAATCCTCATTAGCCATAGTTTACTGTGCTGAATATTCGCCAAAAGCGGCCCATATTTGTTTTAAGATAATTGGGCCTCATTTTTTCATATATTCTCTGGGCCACTGTAGGCTAACGGCTGCATTAGCGAGAGTTTACTGTGCCGAATATTCGCCAAAAGTGGCCCACATTTGTTTTAGGAGAATTGGGCCTCATTTGCCCTATTTTTTCTGGGCCACTTTAGGCTCACAGCCGCAATAGCCAGAGTTTACTGTGCCACATTTTTGCCAACTATGGCCCACATTAGTCCTCCATCATTTGGGTCAAATTGGTAAATTTTCTATCTGGGCAACATAACTGCCTAAAGTGGCCCACATTTGTATGCTATCTGGGTTATAAGTAAACTGTTAGGTTGTTGTTAGGGTTAGTTTAAGTGTTGAAATGTTCTTGCTAAGTTTCTTTTAGTCAGTTAAATGTCTGTTGCAGGAGCAGTCTCAACAGATATTAAGCAGACAGTCTACTAAAACTCAAATTAAAAGAATTTGGCACGTAGTTGCAAACTTTTAGTCAACAAAATGTGCGATAGGGACTATCAAAAAAAAGTGTAACCCACATATTGTAAAATGGTGCATAGCATTAAAATTATTTTTAGGCTAAATGATCATTAGGCCTGTCATTAAACTTACATTTTGGGTTTATCATGTTTTATTAATTGTTTTGTGTATTATATCTGAAATGTAAACTTGCTATTTTATTGACAAATTTCTTTGGTTGTTTTGTTAGAATAGTATAGGCATAGGATGATAACTGGTCTTAAGATTTACCATGGTTTTGAAAAGTCAAGGTTTTAAAACCGTAAAAAAATTCTGTTATATCATTTAGGTATTTGTAATTTTTTTAATGACTATTTTATTGAGGTTTTTTTAGAGAACACAGTATCTACAGCAGAAAAGGACCCTCCACATCAAAGGCTATTAATCCATGATTTAGTAAACATATAAAAAACATATTGCTTAAACCAACATGCAGCATGCTATAGACCTGAACAGTGCAATGACTTACTTTATATCCAGAGAAAAGAAAGACCTCCAAAAATACCTTTTCAAGCTGTGAAGAAATCTATGTTTTTGAAACCAATGAAGAGAGCAGAAGTCAATGATTTATTTTACCTGATATGTTTATTGTTTTTAAATATTTTTAATGTAAAAAACATGTTCAATGTCGAAAAATGTTTTGTTTTTTACCTAGACATTTATAAAGAATATATTTTAGAGCAGTAATCACAATGGCGTGAAACAATTTACCCAAGGTTAACACACCGTCAGAATCTTATTCCGGCCCATGCCTATAGTATATACTTTATATATTTCATATGTTTTACAATGAAAACACATCGCTCTGCTACTGCTAATATCTTAAGGAGAAACAATACAATAAAGACGTCTATTTTTCAGAATAAGCTATTAAACATATTTTAAGCAGTGCAAAGCATTAAAGTTAGCATATTATTATTAATTAGTTTGCGTTGTTCCTATATATACCTACTCACTATTTATGTTGTTGCTAAATATTTGCGTATTATATCTGAAATCTGAACTGTAAACTTTAATTTAATTTTTCTTAGGATTGCTAGAATTATAGCCTATATGTTGTTGTTTACAAACAAATACTGCACTTCTACAGCTAAGTGCTAATACCTCGTGAAGAAACAATAGCAATAAACACGTTTATTATTAGATATATTCAGTGTTTGGACCTTTTTACAGTCATTGGTTTGGACTTTCAGCAGTGAAAATTAACCACACTGAACTGAATTAAACTGAACTTCAGCCTTTAAACGTGGATTGAGAGAGTTTCAATTTATTAGAACTTCTATGTTAAGCTGCTTTGACACAATCTACATTGTAAAATCGCAAGAGAATTAAAGATTAATTGAATATTCAAATTAAAGATATCGCTGTTTGGGGCTCATGAATATTAATTAGGTGGCGTCGGCGTTGCGTATCCGCTTCTCTGATTGGCTCCGGCAAGGTCACGTGCCGCCCAGCAGCGCACTTCAGTTCAGTTCGCGAACACCTGAGCAGAAGAAGATGGACTTTGAGAGACGGCAGTGTGTTGAAAACTTCTCCAGCTTCATGTAGAGCAGAAAACACAGCTTAAAAAACAGAAAACCCGGCAGAATGCCAGCACTTCAGCGATGGATGTAGTTTTATCGATCTGTCTGTGTTTTCTCCTCAGAGCGCTGTCAGGTAAATCTGTTTATTCTCGTTCTCCAGTCTGAGAGCGCCGTTGGAAAATATGTAAATGTGTCTGATACGTTTATAACAGTTATTAAATTATCATTAAAGCTGTTATATGATTATTAAATATTCAGAAATGAGAACCTGGACCACAAAACCAGTGTATTATTTTATATTGAGAGAGTATACGTCGACTGAAAGCTGAATTGATAGACTTTTCACTCATGTAATACGGTTTTATTATTGGACAGTACGTTAACTTATTGAATAAGTCTTGAGTCTGAGGCTTTAGAAAGAAACTAAACATTGAGGATATCGTGTTTAAAGTTGTCAGAATGAAGTAACAATCCATATTACTAATACAGTTTGACATATTTACTGGAAATTTACAAAATATTTTAATAGAACACGTTGTTTTGTTTACTCAATATTCAAATGTTTTTTGACTAACGTTAGATAATTTTATACAAAGTACTTTTGATTATTGGCACAAATATATGCACTGAAAGATGAAGTTATTTAAAGATGATTCTTTGTATTTACATTTTTTTTAAAGTGGTTGTAAACAATTTATTTGGGCTGAAATTAAACAAAGTTGAACATGACTAAATTGAATTTGTTTGTTTAAATTCAACACACATATGTTTACAGATATTTGTTTGCAACAATTTTGCACACGTTATTTTTTTCTGTGAAGTTTTTATACTGTCATTTCAGGCCTGTAGCCAGGGGGGTTCGGGTGGTTCGAAAGACCCACCCCTCAATGACAAAGGTCCAGAATATGTCCCATACATGAGCTCATTTGTCTTATTTTGACTGCTATGCCATCATAAATAGTGAAATTAATCCATTAAAAAGGCTTTAAGACCAAGCAAAATCCTATATTCAAATTAATTTGAAAACTAATATGGCTATTTTTGTTATCCATGAATTTTCAATCAAATCAAATGTATTTATTTATTTTTTTTTACAAGAGAGGCTAGAAAGATTGTGCAGCCCTTTTATTATTATTATTATGTTTTAATTTTTTATTATTCAAATAGCCAAAATGACTGGGACTGAGGACAGTTAAATGCTCTGGCCAGTTTGTAGGCTACATTAGGCTACAGTTTTTTAATTTAAAACTTTAACAGGTTTCTATTTTTTTTTTTAATGATTTATGATGTAATGAATTTGTATTTTAAAAATAATTATTTATTTAGTTTTCTTTATTCTAAATTCTTGGAAATGTTTTGGTCATTAAATGTCATTTTGATGACGATCTAACAAGCTTATCCAGCTAAAATAGTGCTTAAAATCTCACTAAAATACAGTATTTAAATCATACATTGTAAATAAGATGAATAACTTCAAAAAGGTCCACATTGAGAAAAAAAGAACCACCCCTTATACCAGGCTGCAGTGTTTTCTTAATAAATCATGTTCATAAATCAAGTGGCATGTTTTTACAATATGTTTAGTAGTATCTAGTAGTATTCTTCCCCCTTTTTTTTTACTGTGGTTTATTTTGTAAATTTGATCATGAAGTGCTGTTTTTACTGTGTTTATGAAGCAATTATAGTAAAATAAAATAAAAAATTATCCTGGTCTTTTTTTATTACAAACAATTAGGTTCCTCCAAGACTATTTTTATTGTCTTAAAATGGCTCTAATGCCAACTAATATTTCTAATACCAACACACTTTTATCTATTTTGGTTTTATGGATGTTTAGAAATCACTTTAACACAGTCTCTTAACTATTAGTTGTTGTTTTTTCTTTAAAATACATATCACACTTTACAATAAGGGTTAATTTATTATGCTAATATTGAACAATACTTGAATTTGTGCTGCATTTATTAATAATTAAACATTTACTATTGAATTAATAAAATCCACAGTTTTGAATTTTAACATTAGTTAATGCACAATAAGTTAACGCTGATTAACAACTCTAATGCCATTAATTAACATTAACAAAGATGAATTAACACAGTAATAAATGTGTTGTTCATTGACTATTTTATTAAACTTATAGACATGAACTAATGCAACAATATTGTAAAGTTTTAGTAAAATGCATATGATCTTCCAACTCTAAAATCTCTCTCACATTTCTATTTTTATATTCATAATGATCATATTACAAACATGTTTTTGTTAGATTATTGCTTTGTAAGATTCTTTGGTTAAAAGCTTCTGCCAGTTTTATTGTCATTTTATGTTTTATTATGATTCATTTATAGTAGTTTTTTATTTCTATATTTTATTGTTTATTTTAAGGTAATTTTAAAATAATTTAAGGCTCAATTTCACAATATTTGTTTACTTGCTAATATAAAATTGTATAAAAATTTAAGCTTTTAAAGAGCTTTTCACAATAACTGTGGTGTTTGTTTATTTTTATTTTAGATTTAAATGTAAAATATTTTTTGAGTTTTAAAAAGAAATAAAAAATAAATATCACGGGATTTGTTTTGTTTGTTTGTTCATTTTTATTTTAGATTTAATAGTAAAATATTTTTAGAGTTTTAAATTAAACAAATTATTTCGGCAGTATTTGTTTATTTTTATTCTTGATTCATTTGTCGTTCTGCATCATCATTATGTCATAAATGTGTTCAATTTGATCTCTTTTAACCTGATGTCGAGTAACAACAGGAAGCAGTTTCACCTGTTAGCCCTGTTGTGCCTCTTCCTGTGGTTTAGAAAAATCTGATTTATTTTAACAATGCTTGATCTGAACGCTGCGTTTCCTGCTTAGGCTCTGAACACTGGAGACAATCCATTAAGTGAAGATTCACATGCCAATGTGGGGTGTGTGCATAAACTGTAAAAAAAAAATCTATTAATAAATAGTGTCCGTATTTTGTGATTGACAAGTGTTATCTGGTTTGTTGGCCATTGGGAATTGCATAATGAAATGTTGATCTCTGCTCTAGTGTTGAATTTTGTGAAAAGGTGACTTTCATTGACCTTTTAGTCATTTGAAATAATATAATGTATAATAAATAATACATAGAGAAATAAGTAACAATATGCATTAAGTAATAAGTAGGCCCACACAGAATCTGCGCGTGCATATTTTCCGCAGATTTTTAGCCCATCAGTAATTCTGTTTATTTACTTGAGTAAATCTAAGTTTATTCAGTTTTTAAATTAATTACAGAAATATTATTGCCTAATATGAAAATGTTCATCTGATTTATGCACAATACAGGTTGCATTTTAAACATTAAATAAAAGTTTAAAATATATTATTTTTTGTTTTACATATTGATGTTTTAGTCATGATACTCCCAAAATAATTCCACAGAAATCCGCACATTTTTACCAAAATTATCCGCAGAAATAGCAAAAAATGTCTGCACATTCCGTCTGGCCCTAGTGATAAGCAATATTACACTCAATTGCAAGCATGCAGACAGAAACGTGAATGACAGCATTGTGAGAAAGTAGCCATCAAGTCATCTCACAGAATCTCAATGGGATTAAGGTCTGGGCTTTGAATTGGCCATTCTAAGACTCTCAGTTTCTTAGTTTTCATGCAGTCCTTGGTTGCTTTTCTGGTATGTTTTGGGTCGTTGTCATGGTCCAGTTCTGCTTCAGCTTTAATAGGGTATATGCCAAAGCATGCTAATGGGACTTTTAATTTGCCAGTAGCCTGGGTTAAGTGCTTCCGGCGAACTGTATGCAATGGAAAAACCGCTGCGTTTAAGGTCTGTTTTCTTTAAAAATCAGCAATCTCCACTGGCTGAGTGATATCCGATATAAAGTGGGTCTCGGATTGTACAAGAAGCACTGCATTAAATTACATTTTCCCCCCGCCATGTCTTTATAATAAGAGCATTTATTTCACCCCAGTATATTTAATAGTTTATGCGCTAGCCTGCCGATTCTGACGAGAGAGTGCGAGTAAACCGCGTTTTGTCTCGTTTTACCCTTGAGCAACTTAATGAATTCCAAAGTTTATTTAACTGAATGTATTTTAATGACATTACAACATTGATGCTTTAAAAGGAGCCGTATAAAATGGAAAAAAGTTTACAATAACAGAACACCGGAGGTTTATCAGTATGGGAAAAACACTAACTCGTCATATACCCTATTATGTATCTGACACACTGTAGAATTCATGATGGATTCTTTGATGGTCAGCCATGACGCTTTCACCTCCATGCTTCACAGTTGATATGAGGTTCATTTCCTGGAATGCTGCCTTCGGTTTAACTTTACGTCAAACATGTTGTCTGTTTTAGTGTCCCAATAATTTAATTTTAGACTCATCTGTCAAAAGAACATTATTCCAGAAGTCCTGGTCTTTGTCAACTTTGTCTCAGGCAAACTTCAGTCTGGCCTTGATGTTTCTCTTAGAGAGTAATGGTTTTCTCCTTGCACACCTCCCATGCAAGTTAAATGTGTGCAGTTTCTTTCTGATTGTAGAAGCATGCGCTTTCACATAGCCTGCTGAGACCTCTTTTACCATGTTGTGGTTTGCCCTCAGGTTGAACTTGCCGGGTGGGATGACCAGACCTGGGCATGTTGGCTGATAATTTGAAAGACCTTCAAATTATATAGATTGTAGACATTTAGATTATTTAGATTATTTTACATACAGTGGAATGGCTCACTTCAAAATCTTTAGAGATCTTTTTTTGAAGTCCTTCCTAGATTTGTAGGCTGCTGTGTTTTTCTGAAAGCCTCAGACAGCTTTTGCTGTCACTATGCAGGGCTCAACAATAAGGACTGCTTGATGGCCTGGGGCCAGCTTGAGAGACGATTGGGACAGTAGACAAGATCCTTACTGGCCCGATTGGGCCAAGCGTCACTAAAGTTAATTTTGCTTGCGACAGTACGATCATTTGTTAATTGTGATATAACCGGGCTCGGATCGTATTGCTTTCTCACTACAATCGATCCGCACCAGAGTTCGTTTCAGTCGAGCCGAGACCATCTCATTCAAGAGATCTCGGAGCGATTGTTTTGGCGCGGATCTGAACGCAATTGGTGGTTTCACTTATGCCAAACGAACCACGCTAACTGGGTAAACGAGACAGGTTCCGAAACAAAAGTCTAGGTGTGAAAGCACCCTGAAGCAGCAGTGCCGTGACAGTTTTGGCACTGGGTCTACGTTTGCAACGCTGCACACTTAATTAATGTGACAATGCATTGATAAAGACCAAAAACACATTGAATGACCGTAAAAAGCTATTTTACCCAATAAATGCATCAATAAAATCCACAGATTTTTATATAGTCAATCAAATCAACTTTTAAAACGGCAGCAAATATGCATTTAGGCCCAAACTACAAATCCAAATTTAAAATAATTTTAGTTTTAAACTAGTGGCATTTTGAAATCAATGAATGCAAATCGTGATAACCATGAAACCGAGATTATTTCTTAGACTATAATCGTACAACCAAAATTTATAATCGTTACATCCCTAGTTGTGGCTGCTGTACGCTATGCATTATATACAGGAGCGCACATGCGTCTTCGGTCCTGTCAGACGTGGTGCGCAGTCTCATTCCTATATAGCAGAGAGTGTCTGTGAGAACTCTACCACGCGCGATTCAGAGAGCAGAAGTTTGTAATCGCGTGACCAAGTAGAGACAGAAATCACATGCCATTGTGTAAATAAGATATTACATACGGCTATTTATCTTGTTTATTAAAGAAGTTCTGATCTGGTGCTATATATAAAATACAATTAACTTGACTTTAAAGGGGGTGGGGAAAGCCGTTAGGGGGGCGGGGCAAACACTGAGATGCTGGCGGCAACATCATACTGCCCCCGTAGCGTTCGTTTTAAAGATGAGATGCAGCCATATGGAGCTCTGCCTACATAATTCGCGCTCTCCAGAAATGTATACTTGGGAACGTTTTCACAATGAGCCTCAATTGCTGAATTTTCTTAACTTGTCAAGTTAACCTAATTCACCTAGTGAAGCCTTTAAATCTTTAAATCTTTAAGTCACTTTAAGCTGAAAACTCGCATCTTGAAAATAATCTAGTATAATATTATATACTGTCATCATGTCAAAGATTAAAGAAATTAGTTATTAAACTATTGTTACTGTAAATATGTTGAAAAGGATGTATGTGAAAAAAGGATGAAATGTTCACAGGAGAGCTGCTAATGTAGTCTTGAACTGTATGTTGATCTTTCAACTCAACAGCGTCATCTGCTGATGGACCGCCTGAGCCGCGAGACGTCCACTTCTACTCGGAGAGTTTGAGGAACGTGGTGAAGTGGACGGCAGGACACGGATCTCCCAGCGACACCGTCTACACTGTGGAGTACGCCATGTGAGTGAGAAATAAAACACACTCACAGTCTCAGCAAACACACATTCTTCAGCTCTTTAGCTTCCCAACCCTGTTCCTGGAGGCACACCTACAGTACATATTTTGGATGCCTACTTGATCTGAATCAATGCTCTATATATAGGTAATTGGTGGCGCAGTGGGCAGTGCTGTCGCCTCACAGCAAGAAGGCTGCTGGTTTGAGTCCCAGCTGGCCAAGTTGGCATTTCTGTGTGGAGTTTGCATGTTCTCCCTGTGTTGGCGTGGGTTTCCTCTTGATGCTCCGGTTTCCCCCACAGTCCAAACACATGCACTGTAGGTGAATTGGATAAGCTAAATTGGCCGAACTGTATGAGTGTGTAAAAAGTTTGTATGGGTGTTTCCCAGTACTGGGTTGCAGCTGGAAGGGGATCCGCTGTGTAAAACATATGCTGGAATAGTTGGCGGTTCATTCCACTGTGGTGACCTCTGATATAGAGACTGAGCTGAAGAAAAATGAATGAACGAATATACTCAACATTAATGCTGTTTTCCTGCAGTTACGGGGATGCGGATGAGAAGATACCCGAGCAGGTGAGATGGAGGCCGGTGGATCAGTGCATCTCCGTCTCTCAGACTGAATGTGACGTGTCTCAGGAGACGTTTGACCTGCGGGACGAGTACTTCGCAAGAGTCCGCGCTACCAGCAAACACGGGCAGTCCGTCTGGAGCGAGAGCATCGGCAGATTCAGACCACTGTCAGACAGTGAGTGACTGCCTTGGATTTTGGTCCTTTTTAAAAAAAAGTTTGGGCACTTCTGCTTTTAACGCTTCCTAACAGTTTGATGCATGTCTTGAGGTAGTTCAGTACGGTGCAGCTTGATTGGACAGGAATCACAGGACTGATTTTTGTAATCCCCATAGACAGGAAGTATGCGGTTTCGGACGCAGCAAATATTTTTTACTCATCTTGTTTTAAGAATTTTATGTGTAATGTGTAATGATGCAGGCGTGCCAACAGGGACAGAGTTCCACATGCAGTTAGGGATGGCTGACGTCAAACTGACATTTCGAAATCCTGACTCGCAATTGTTTCGAAACACTGCACTGAAACGTCATTTATGTGGGTACAGCGCTACTATTTGCTCATTATACATTTATTAACATTTCAAAAATAGTTAAATTCTAGATTCACACACATTTTTTGACACAATATTAAAAACATGTGGCTAAGAAATAGCTATATTGGCAGGGCAAGTAAAAATCTGAACCGCTGGCCTAATCGGGCCAGTAGAAAAAATCCTTAGCGCTGACCCCTGCTGTTAACACTAACTGTACATACACATATATCAACTGTGAGTTAGTTAATGATTGTTCACTCATTTTCATGCCAGAAATACATGACCTTTGTTGATGACAGTAATAACACGTCCTATAATAAAACAGCACATGGAATATTATGCAACAAACAGGCACTGCATTTATT